CACGGCCAAACGGAAAACCGGCGGGAAGAAGAATAGTAATAATAATAATAAGGGTCCTCGAACTGTACAAAGTAGACTGTACAGTAAGAGACTTCCTCGGGCACTGTATGGGGCAATGGAGTACGATCCTTTGTCATCTAGGCGAACGGATGACGGCTGCGGAATACCGGATAAGGATACGACGGGGTATTTTCCAGGGCGACTGTTTGAGTCCAATATGGTTTTGCCTCTCCCTGAACCCTCTCAGCGTGTTACTGGAGGGCTCGGGCGGAGGATTTCAGCTTCGGAGAGGAGGGACATAAGTGACCCACCTTTTCTACATGGATGACCTCAAATTATTCGCCTCCAATCGCTCCCATTTGATGGAATTGCTTAAAGTCACTTGTGACTTCAGCAATTCTATCAAAATGGAGGTTGGTACGGATAAGTGCGCGGACCTCCATGTCGAAAGGGGTAAGGTCGCTAACACGGAGGGAATAGATTTATCTATGCTCGTTAACATAAGGACCCTCTCTGAAGCTGAAACATACCGATACCTGGGTATGTCTCAAAACATGTGTATCGATGAGGCTGGCATGAAACAGTCAGTTCGTGACGTGTTTTTTGCACGCCTGACAAAGGTGTTTAACAGCCATTTGTCAGGCGTGAACAAGGCACGCGCATTTAACGGCTGGGTCTAGCCAGTCCTCATTTATACCTTTGGCATACTCAGGTGGACTCAAACTGAGCTCAACGCCCTGGATCGAAAAGTCCGCACAACTGTGACGTCCCACAAAATGCACCATTCGAGATCGTCAGTGATGAGGCTGTACCTGCCGCGGAAGCATGGCGGGACGGGGTTTTTAAGCGCCCTCACCATGCACAATCGCGAGGTGTGCAGCCTCCGTAACTACTTTCTGGCGAGATCGGATGAGTCGATCTACACGGACGTCATTAGTTGTGATAAAGGACTTACCCCTCTATCCTTAGCCAACGAGCAATGGCAGGACCCGGGAATACTGAGCGTTTTCGACCGGGAGGCCGTATGGAAGGAGAAAGAACTCCACGGGAGGTTCTACAAGGCTCTACACGAGCCTTTTGTAGATACTCGGGCCTCCCTTAACTGGCTACGTTTCGGTGACCTCTTTGGGGAAACCGACAGTTTTGTCTGTGCAATACAGGATCAGGTTATTAAGACGAACAACTATCGGAAATACATCCTAAGGGATGGCACCGTCGACATCTGTCGAGCTTGTCGCCATCCCGGGGAGTCGCTTCGGCATGTTATCTCCGGTTGTTCCATGCTTTCTAACTCTGAGTATCTGCATAGACACAACCTAGTGGCCAGAATCCTACACCAGGAGCTCGCTCTGAAATACGGCCTCGTGGAACGGAAACTGCCGTACTATAAGTACTCTCCGGAGGCCGTGCTCGAAAAAGATCGCGCCAGGCTCTATTGGGACCGGTCCATCATCACGGACAGGACGATTGTCGCGAACAAACCTGATATCGCGTTGATGGACCGGGCACAGTCGCGGGTATTTTTGGTGGACATTACCATTCCATATGACGAAAACCTCGTGAAAGCCGAAACAGATTTGCAAAGTATCTGGACCTGGCTCACGAGGTGACCGACATGTGGGGTGGTGTGCCGACCGAAATTATCCCAATAGTCGTATCTGCGAATGGGTTGATCCCAGCCAGCCTCTCCGGACATCTGAGGCGACTGGGACTCCGGGACGGAACGCTCCAAGCTCTAATGCAGAAAGCGGTGCTCCTCGATACCGCCCGCATCGTCCGCCGGTTTCTCTCCCTTTCACCCTAACCCTCGGCCGTTTGGTCTGCCCTGCCGAGGGCTTCCGTCTGGTTGGGTCCTATTTATATGTGTATTATATGTAGTATATTTTTATATGTATATGTTTATTTTTATGCATAATATTTATTTTATATATACATATGTATCTATATGTTTATTTTTTATTTATAAACCCAACCAGACGAGAAATCAAATGAATATCCCCCCATAATAATAAATATTTATAGAACACATTTTTACACAACGTTCTCTCGTCCCAAACTAAGCAATGCTTGTACTATGGGTACTAGATAGAACTGATAAACATACTTTTTTGTAAATAAACACATGTTATGCATATATAAACACCCTGACATTAGAAAAACACTATGTTCATCACCCAATATTTTTCCAGTAGTGGGGTTCAAACACACAATCTCTGGCGCAGGAGGCAGGTACACTACCTGCCTGCTGAGCTTGCCCATTTTTGCAACAGCGAAGACTGGGCTAACCTACTAAAGAGTGATTTTGAATCACTGTTATACCTTTTGAGTAAATGAGGATATTTCCGTCGTTTACATAATGGTAAAAATTCCTTCCTTAAACATTCCTTATTTCTAACGCAACTCCACGGAAACCGCGCGGTGGTTGCGGTTTCGAGAAATTACGCAGGAATCTAGGATAGAAAGTGGCTTGGACGGGGTCGAGTGCCAAAGCCAGCCAGCTTTAGCCTAGGGCTTGCTTAATCATGCAGTTTGATAATTACTGCATAATAATCGTCCCAATTAGAGATAACCGCCTTTAAGTGAAGCTACGTCGCTTAATACAAGCTAATAGCGCCGTTTCATGAGAACCGAGCCAAATGTTACTTCGTATTTATTTTAAACGTAGCATTATTCAAGTGTTTTCAATTCTGTTCGTAAAAAGAAATTAGAAAGCAACGAAATTATGATTTTTAGATGGCATTTAGTTTATCAGTCAAAACAACGTTAATTATCTACCATGTAATTAATTATCTAATAATCAACCATCTGAGGGTCAAAATATACTTGCCCCTTGTGGAAAATATTACTAGGTACTGCCGCAGTGGCGTTGATTCCTTAAGGTGCAAAATAAATTACTACGCCAATTACTTACACCACTATAATATCGTACAACAAACACCATTGTAAAAATCTATACTTTAGTACTTATTATTTTATTTTTGGAAATGATATAAAACAGGACGTTAAAGCAATAGTAGCAGTTAATTATCTTTTAGTCTCTACATTTCGTAAAGTGCACAATTTGAAATCAATATCGGCGCAACTCACATTTGCATAAAGTCCAAACATTACTTTTTATGACGCAGCTCCGCTATGCGACCGATCTCGGCACTACAGTTTCCACAGTTCAGTTTTCCGATCACAGATGGCGCTATTGCAAACGCCCGTACTAAAATTAAAACTAATTGCGTCTGTTTCCATATTTTCATTAATAATCCCTTTTATTCAACCCTGGGGCCTTCCGTATATCCCACAATGAACGCTCTCGTTGTCCGGAAATGTAATGTAATAAAAATTAAACATCGTTAAAGCGTATTGCTCATTTAATGTTCGTAGTTTGCATGCAATGCGAGGGTACGAACCGAGTGAAAATCCGCCTGCGGCCAAATCTTCATTAAATAATAGACATTATGAACAATTGTTTTATTGTAATTTCAACAATCGGGGACGGGATGGAACGGGGCCATTAGACGCGGACAATTGTTATAGTTTCTTATGTTACGTTAGCCGTTATGAAATGATAATAAGTGTTACATTATGTCATGAAAGGGAAAAATGAATGAATTAACATGTCATGAATAATAACAAGGTTATTAATGTTAACTTAATAAATATTACTTATTTATTTATGCTATTACATGGCATTATGATTATAATGCAATGTATTCCATATTCTTATTCACAATAGCAATATTTATTTAAAAAAAAAGCTTCAATACATAAGAACACAATCCAGGAGCCTTGAACAAATCTTGAATGGTTTTATTAAATTATTATTTTGTTCCTTATGATTGGCCGTCGACACGCTAAGAAGAAAAGAAATTGCTGCTATTTTTCAATTTCTGATTTCTGCGTTTCTTATATCTTACCAAGAGTTCTAAGACCACATTTATCTCAGGTGCATTCGTACCGTCATCTCATAAAAACTATAATTGCTTAATTTACCATCGAGATGCCGTTTTGGACACCTCTGTGTACGGAAACTGTACATTTAGTGACGATTTGGGTGGGAATTAGTTTTGTGATTGCTTTGTGATGGCATAGAGTAATAACACTAAATTTGTATCACTTTTGTGATATTGTTCAAAGGAATACAATCTCTAATACGTACAAGTAAACCTTCAATCTATTACAATAGAACACAAGTTGTGTGGCGGTATCTTTATTTAATTGAAATAATGACAAATAGAAATCAAAATGTTTATGTTCCGGTTTAAACGCTCCAATGGGAAAATCTCGTTGACGGCTCAACAGTTAAAGCTTATGCATGGCGCAGATTCAAAACATTCAAAACCAAGCAGGTTTACTGCGTAGCTTAATTAACACAACGTGCCTGCGAAGTTACAAACTAGTTTTACGAGTATTGCAGTTAAGTATGTCTCGGACACTCGCCTGCTATGAACATTACAATAGCCCGTTGGACACGTCACAGTTCAATGAACAATTGAATGAAATGATCACTTCATTCCAATTGAAATGGGAAATAATATTGTTTACAACAACAACTACACTCCATGTATAAATCATAGGCGTGTATTGTATAGTAAAACGCTACGCCTAATCAACACACGACCGTCGTGGAAACGATATGACTGGTAACCTCTGGAATCCCAGACAATGGACAATCAGACAAACAATAACAGGGTACGTGTAAACTGCGCTTTCTCGGATGCGTGTGCGGCAGTCGGCCGGCGGGTAAACACACATTTGGACTAGTGCACTACTGGCAAGCCATCGAGATCACATCTCCCCACATCTATTTACCACGTGAAACGGAGCTGGAGCTCTAGACTGAACTAGTTGAATTGTAACATAATGATTCCGAGGGACATATAAAAACGCACTTAGTGGAACCGACGCGTGCACCGAAGCTGAGTAGACGGCCGCCCAAGTCGCAGCTGTGAGGTTGACCGATGAGACCCTGATATCGCGAGCGTCGGCGGCTTATAATAAAAAATGCCATGAGCGCAGCTGCCAATATCACCGATGACCTGTGCAGGATATGTGACGGCAGGATAGAGTGCGCGCCGACCGCGATACTCCTCATCTCGCTGGTGCACACCCTCTACGGCTACATCGGGCCGGAGCCGGACTACTTCGGGAAGAACGAGCCGCCTGGCGCGAGGAAAGGGGCCGAGAGGACAGACGCCAGGTTGAGACCCTCGCCCAAGTACAAGTTGTCCGACGACGGGCTTCAGAGGAACGAGGATGAGTTGACGAACGTCAAGGAAGTCGAGTACGACTTCGTGGTGGTCGGCGGCGGGACGGCCGGCTGTGTGGTGGCAAGTAGACTGTCCGAGAACAGGAAATGGAGGGTGAGTGTTGTGCCTTTAAAACAGTCAGAAACTTGAGTGGCTCTCAAGTAATTAATACAGTTTATGATTAGTAATAAAAATCTAAAGCATGCTACGGAATCTAGTATTGTTTTTGGTTAAACTTGTTTTCGATTTCATAAGTAATAACAAAACATTTGGTGACATCATGGTTGGAATGCAACATAAGAAATGCTTTGTCTCATTTTCATCGCCGTTTATTATACATTTTAGTATTACATTAAGTGTTAAAACATTGCAATTTTCAAATAAAGTTCTATTTTTTTTTGTTTACGTAAAATTGTTATATTGCAATAACGTAGGGTTGTTTCTTAAATAGGTTTTGCTGGTTGAAGCTGGCCCAGAGGAGCCGAAGATGGCCCTCATTCCGGGGCTTACCAGCGAGTTTAAAGGCTCCACAGTGGATTGGCAGTACACCATGAGGCCGAAAAAAGGGTAATCTCCATAATATTTTTTAAAATTAAGATAAGTGCATTGAGATACAGTGTTTTGCCATCAGCTTAACTCGGCATAACAATCGGTATAGTACAGTGTATACCTCATTTTTCCCTTAGCCTTAGTAGATAAATCGAGTTGTTTGTCGCTAGCTCTGTCGGTTACATTGTTTTTAAACATGTGAGATCAGTAGTAGTATATGTTTTTTTAAAAAGACTATGTTATATTCGGAGAAATGTTATCTCGACACAGTGTTGAAACCCAGGCAGGAACTGAAAGATATTTTCCCTTAATATTTAAGTGTTATCCGCGAACAGACTCTACCCATTATTTATTGTATGTTGATAGTTTTTGTATCAGTAAACAAATTTTCCTATTTATTTGTTTTTTTCTGTTTCTGTATAGTTTAAAACTTCCACTGCTGTCATTTCAGATTCTGTCAAAACCGCCACAACTCGGGCTGCGAGGTGGTCCAGGGGAGGTTGCTCGGAGGCACGTCCTCCATCAACGACATGGCGTACATGAGGGGCAGCCCCGCCGACTACGACGAGTGGATGCTGAACGGGAACGAAGGCTGGAGCTTCAACCAACTGCTGCCGTACTTCAAGTACTCCGAGGGGAATTACGACAAGGACATTGCAAAGAACAAGTACTTCCACTCCACGCATGGTCCGTTAGACGTGGGGCGGTATCCGTACGTGGATGATAACGTGGACGTGCTGCTGAGCGCGTTCAACGAGCTCGGATACAACTACACGGACATAAACGGCCGCAACCAATTGGGTTTCATGCGGATACAGACGATGTCGTATTTCGGTGAGCGGGTTAGTGCATACACGGCGTTCATAGACCCGATACGGAAGCTGAGGTCTAACATTGTTATTGAGAGCGAGGCCCTGGTTACGAACATTCTGTTGAAGGACTCCCACGGGTCCGTTCGCGCTTTGGGTGTGGATTACGTTAAGAACGGTACAAGAATAAGAGCGAAAGCGAAGAAAGAGGTAATTTTATGCGCCGGCGCTCTGAACTCGCCGAAATTGTTGATGCAGTCCGGCGTTGGACCTAAAGACTATTTGGAGTATTTGAACATTAAAGTGTACAATGATTTGCCCGTGGGGGGTAATTTTCATGATCATTTGTCCGTATGTCTGCCTGTTATAAAGCTTAGCAAAACAGCGACGACCTCTAAGTTTTCTGCGAAGCTCAAGGATATATCATCTTACTATGCTAAAGGCACTGGCCCTCTATCTGCAAATTTTCAAGTTGTAGCATTCATGGAAACAACACTGTCGGATATCCTCGGCACGCCAGACATAGAGGTGAGGTTTCGCGGTCATGACTCTAACATGTATTACGACAAGATTGATATATGTGTTTCGCTATTAACACCGAAGAGCCGAGGCCAAATAGTTTTGAATGCGACCGATCCCATGCTCGGAAAACCTTTGATCTATCCGAATTTTCTAAAGGACCCGACAGATGAAAAGAAACTATTAGAAGGCATACATGAAGTGGTTAAACTTTTTGACACGGAAGTATTTAAGAGTGCCGCTTTTGAGTTCGATCCGTTGCCCATATTAAACAACGAGTGCAAAAACTACGAGAAAGTTTCGGAGGACTTTTGGGCTTGTATAATAAAACATTTTTCAAGTCCGTTACATAATTATGTGGGCACTTGTAAAATGGGACCAGCAAAAGATTCTGAATCCGTAGTGGACCCCTATTTAAGAGTATATGGAGTTACAAACTTAAGGGTTGTTGACGCTTCTGTTATACCTAAGATAACCCGTGGTTCCACTGCAGCCCCTGTTATAATGATAGCTGAAAAGGCAAGCGACTTAATAAAAACAACTTGGTATTAAATAGATTTTTTATTTACAGTCTTTTAATTTAATCTATGAACGTCACCTTCTATTGTTATATTGTCCTTTATTCTCCTTCCAGTCATTTTTGATTAATTTAGCACCCTTCTCTGCGATCATGACTGTTGGAGCGTAGATGCCGCCACGCACGTGCGTTGGCATCACGGAAGCATCAATTATCCGTAAACCTTCAATACCGTGAACCCTCAATTGGTAATTGACTACTGAATTTGTGCTATTACCACCCATACGACAAGTACCGATCGGATTATTCATAGCCTTAGTATAATGCCTTGCAATGCAATTCCATTGATCTCTGTTCCTTAATTTATCACATGGAAACAAATCTATTGGGGCAAATCTAATGTCAGCCTTTTTCAACTCCTTTGTATCTAGTAACTGTAGGGCAATGTCGATGCTATCGACCAATGTATCGAGGTCCTCAGGTTCTTTCAAAAAGTTAGCTTGTATTACTGGTCTTCCGTATTTTGGGTTTCTCTTGTTTAAAGTTACTTTTCCTTTACTTTTAGGCTTTAGCAACACCGGATAAATAATTATCATGTTATAATAAGGCAACGGTGCGTTGTATTCTTCTATCGCGTGTACACTTACATTTGTCAAAAGAAACTTGTCGCTTCTTACAAAGTTGCCTTCGAAAGAAAACTCTACATCAGGTGCATTATTATTGTTCTCGTATAGTTGCAGAAAAGCTGACAGCTGGTTAATCCCTCTAGACGCTAAGGGTCCACTGCGAGATTGGAACCACGTTTTAAAATCTTTAATAATCACGTCCTCATTCACCGGAGCGACGTCGTTTATTGCGAATGCGAGACCTCCTGTGGTGACCTGGTCTTGATAGTGTGAACCCACGGGAAGCTCGTGAAGAAGAGTTATGTTATGTTTCCTCAACTCAGCCTTGGGTCCGATGCCAGATAGGTGTAGTAACCGCACATTGTTAACAGCACCTCCGGCTAATATTATTTCACGTTTAGCGAACGCTGGATGCTCCTTGCCCTTCTCGCTCTCGTAAACGACTCCTTCGACGCTGTTCTCCTGTTTGTTTATAACGATCCTTGTGACGGTCACACCGGTTATCACCACCAGGTTTTTCCTATGTCTAACGGGCTTCAGGAAAGCGCTGTTGGTGCTGAGGCGGGTGTGATTGAATATCGTGAATTGATTGACGACTATCGCCTCCGGGATATTGGTGTTTATGTCCAACGCGCGAAGGCCCATTTCCCCGAACGCGGCGGAGAACATTTCCACGAAGCGATCGGCGTGCTTGAACCTCTGCACGCGCATTTCTCCGCCGCGGGAATGGTACAGGGAATTCATTAATACGTCGTAGTCGCCTTAAAAGAAAACGAGTTCATTAATTGCTCTCGGAACGCGACAATTAAAACGAGCGTTTTTCGTGTTTTCGTTTTAGCTTAATGAAACGTGACAGACATGTATGGTATGTTTCCAACAGCTTTGGCAGTTAAATCCAGTTTCAAGGCTTTTTATATTTTTTTGGTTAGTCTTTTTAAAAATTATGAATTAGAACATGTTCTTTAGCCTATTGGTTTCTTAACGTTAACTTATTTAATCAAAGGTTTAATAAGAAAGTGAGTAATTGTGCACGAAACTGGGTTTGAGTCAATGTTTTCATTGCAGCGGTTGCTAAAGTTTATTGGTATAAGTGTTCATATTGTGACAACTGCTAACTCATACGTGTTTTGCATTTATCAGGTGTGTCTTGCATTCCATCTTACCATTGTCCTCGGAAGTCTTGAAGTGTTCCAGCAAATTTTCGAATTTCCAATCAAGGGAGCCCATTTCACCGGTGCTGTGCCACTCGTCATAGTCCTTCTTATGACCTCTCGTGTACTTCATGTCGTTGGTGACGCTGGAGCCCCCTAAGACCTTGCCGGTCCTCACTTCACAGGCCCCGCCGGGCCTGGACAGGCAAGAGAACCCATTCCTCTCGGTCCTGTAATTCCACAGGATTGGCCGATGGTTGTTGGTCGGGACGCCTGGTATGTCGAAGTCTATGTTCTCCTCATCGCCGGCCTCCAGCAACAGTACCTGGTTTGCGATATATTAAGAGTAGTGTAATGTAGTTTTAATGGTAATTGTATGTAATTTTCAACCATCAACATCCCCTCTGTTGTTACAATACCCATCTGACGGTACCCATTAACCGTCACGTGTACCGCCTGCCAGTTTTTTTTAATCTCCCAAACTAAAAAAAGGAATATGAATTTAAAATAAATATTGGATAACTCGTTACCTACCTTCCATTCCGGTACCGCCGACAGCCGATTCGCTAACACGCAACCGGATGTGCCTCCGCCGATTATTATAAAGTCGAAAACGCTGTTCCTCAAATTCTTCTCGTCGGCCTTACTCCTGGTGGCCTTCGAGAACAGGTCACCAGCTACGGCGGCGGCCAGCGTGATCAGTAGGACCAGTCTTGGTAAGCTGGCGTGGGCACTGACAAGACAATTGAAATATTATCTTCAATAAATACTTAACTATAATAAAATATCTGTAACTCTCAAATAGATTAACGAACAATTTTCCATCAAAAGATTTTATTCTCTAAACCGTATGAAAAACCGAAGATTTCACTGGCTGAATCCAACCAAAACATCAAACAGCAAAGTTGTGAAGGAACATTGTCATTATTTAGTCAAACCAAAATTCCTTACAAGAGTTTGAATGAATGCCGTTCCAATAAACTATAAACTTGAATACTTTTTCGAAGGGCTTTCACTGAACATTTTGAGAACTGTTCAAACGATAGATATAAAGCATTATGCTTTCTAAAATGTTATGAAACATACTAATAAAATAGACGGTTACAGCGAAAACATATTTAAATTATTGTGCTTCCTCCTGTATTATTAACCATTCTATGTAAATGGTAAAAAAATATGTCTTTCATAATAAAAATAAATGCATTAACAGGTTTAATGCATTTATTTTTATTATGTAAGACTTTAGTACGTCTGTATACGTTTCAATAATTATAGTCAAATAGTGTAAATATCAATTTCTTGTATACCAATAAGTATTTTCATCATAATGGAATTTAAAATGATGATGTACACTGAAAACTAGCCCGCACTTATAAGAAACGAGTGTTAACTCTGAACCACAACAAACCCAGAGACAGCACTATTCAAGTGACAAGGTTAACACGTCACATCACATCACGACGGCCAGCGGATTGTAAGAAAAATTCATTTCAAAATCAGGCCGAATTTCCGATTTATCTGTGTACACTCGAACACATGGTTCAGATTGGAAACTACGTCACCTCGGATTCGCTTTCGGCTTCATGTCGCGACAGCTGGGCAAAGCCGAACGCTAGCACCGAAATCCAGTCGGTGAATGAGCCTGGCACCCAGCGGGGTGGCCACGCTCCACCGCCCCGAAGGTGAGCGGTTGGGCAAGCGAGGAAACCGAGTTTTCCACGCGTTCCGAGCGCTTACATAATGGCCGATGTCCGCTTCGACGGGGGAAGAGTTACGATTTCGGCCTGTCCGGATTACGAATCCGTTCTCTTCCGACGCCGTTGGCCGACCTCGTCTGCCGATCGGTGCCGAAGCGCCCTCGCCAATTAAGGTGCCAGCGCACTACTCCGGCTATGAATATGACATGTAAGGATCTCTTAGAAGTGGAACTTCTTAGGACCGATGACGCTAAATTGTTTAGTTTCATATGGTACAGGCAAACGAACAATGTCTGTGGTAGGTCCAAGTAACAATCTACGCGGTAACACAAATGGTCAGGCCCGTCCGGGGATGTACCACGAACTCAAAGAAGACCGGCGTGAAGTGGAAGTGTTATACTTCTGCGGTCCGTCTGGTGAGTGAGGTAGCTGGGGCCCACTTTATTATAAGGCGGCAACGCATCTGCAACCCTACGGGTCTTTCAAATGTCCATAGGCGTCGGTTATCAATTATCATCAAGTGAACCGCCAGCTCGCTTGCCGCCTTCTCACATAAAAGAAAACGGAAAAAGCTTTGCTTTTAAGATAGAAAAGAGCTTTCCTATTGTACGTCCCTAAGTCATGTCCCGTAGGTATTTTTTTTTCTTGAACCACTTAGCAAATTAAAGAGTTATTCATGAACTTTCAAGTGCATTTACGTTTTCGAAATCCCAGAAAACGTTAAAAATGTATCAATTGGTAAATTAAAAAAAAAAACGTTGTGTATTAAAAGCTATCGCTTCTCGGCCTTTTGGCTAAGATCAAAGTGTAGTGTATTAAATGCTATATTTAAATGATAACAAGCTTTGGAAATGAATTGAACTTGTCAAGAGGAAAAAATGTGTGCTAAATAGTTATTCTACACATATGTATCCCAATACATAATTGTATCAAATTCCCAAGTTTAATGTACATACATAATTTCAAGTTCATGGCGACGCAAGGATTATCACATATTTGTGATCAACATATTCATGTATCGTCTAAAGGAAAAGAAACAAATACAAACCCTAGGAACTGTTTCATATATAAATGTAATAATTATTAATTATTAACAATAGGTTTAGAGTCACGGTGAAAAACGTTTTAGTGTGTAGATAACTTAAAGTAAGCGTTTGACGGACTTGTTATTGACGGCAATTGTTATTTTCCTTTTTTTTTTATCCTACTTAATTTACAAGTTACATGATTTATTAAAGTAGTTATTTTTTTCATAATGAATTGCGTTTATTAAATTGATATGTTAGTGTGAATATTTAGTCGTAATTTAACGCGAACAGGTACTGCAATTGCGACAGACACCATTTAAATAAACACAAGTAGTCATTGGTGGAACGAATCAACGTTAAAATAAACAAACAACGTTAATATAAATGTTAAAAATATAACATAAAATGTCACTATTGTTAGATTCTGCGTTTTTGCACAAAACATAACCTGCAAATGCTGACGTTTTTGACAACTAGAGATGTGTTGAGGTAACATACTTTCGTACAATATTACGTAGACATCACATTTCATATTCGTTATGAAATTGTATAATGCACGATGGATACAATCGTAATATAAGTTATCGAATAAAGATAACCATGTGAGTAAAGCCCTCAGATAGCTTATTATAGATAGATATTTTTACCCTGATCGTCATAATGAAATCGTTAAATGCAAGATTTAAATGCCTTGTGTGATTTCTCGCCACTTGTATTGTGTGAGAAAACCACTGCAACGAATGGTTTACTATATGAAACATCATAGTCAATGTGATCCCAAGCTGAGACTATAATTTCCTGTTCACTAACGTTAATCAAATACAATAACGATGCGTGCGTAGAAGGGAGGCGAATGTAACAAATCCGCCCTCTATCGACATCGTTAGGAAGGGATCCTCAGCAATCCTGCCATAAAGCAATGTCGCTTGTCGCGTCCACTGCCCTACCCATAAAGCATACGCCGCCGGTCAGTTAATTTCCGGACGCAAGTCTTATCGCACTCCGATAGCCTTGCAAAAGTTGTTTAACAGCAACAAACCCTTTTGGGACAATTTGCTGCAAGAAGTACAAGCGAACAAGACAATCTATGTCACTCTTGTGATAAGTATTATTTAATGATTGCGAGACAATTCGTTTCGAATTGTTTGTTTTTTTCTTTGAATTATGATTGTAGTATGGACGACCAGCTTGTTCAATGTAAAATATGTTAATTGTCACGGCATAAAAAGTAACCGGATTATTTACTCTATTATTACTCCACTAACCTACCATTTGCAGTTTCTCGTATAAAATAACTTTTTATCTAAATCTTTCTATCTTTCTTAAACATAGGATGAATATGTATATTTAATACAGAGTAATACTCTCGGAAAAAAAATTAACTAACAATGCATAGTAAGTTTCAAGGTTAGTTAAATAATTTAAATATACTGATTGCTTCGGAACGGTAGGCGATGTTACAACAAAAAGTGGGTGATTAAAATATAAATTGATCTAAATAATCTCAAGAAAAAAGTTTTGTAAATCAAAGTTTGTTTACAGAGCCATCTAGCGACAAAAAGCAACAGCTGCATGCGTATTGACTTTTTATAAAACACTCTCTACATCGCCGTATAGATGGCATACGTCGTAATACAAGTTGATTTTATACAAGTATCACATTGTTAATTTTAAACTATATTATATAACAAAGATTACGCTATTTATTTTATTGTTAAAGCTAAAACCAAAAACAAACTATACAGAGGTCGTGTAAATTAATATAAGTTAATGAAAACATTGAATAATATTTGGTGCTGATTTTCCAACGCCACCAATGTCATGCTTTTAATCAACTTGTCTTGTTTTCGACAAAATCTAACAACGGTTTAACTTAGTCTAGTTCAAAACGAACCGAGAGGCACTAGGCGGTCTTACTCTTATATAATAATATCTGCATTCTGCAGTTTTTATAATGCAAAACGATAAACATCAGCACAAAACGGCAGTAGTCAAGGGTAGTGCAAGTATAGAGCAGCAGTCATTTCCAGCCATCTTTGTTCACAATATCACTACATAGAATAAAACAAAGTCATCCCGCTGTCTGTCCCTATGTATGCTTAGATCTTCAAAACTACGCAACGGATCTTAATGCGGTTTTTTTACTAGATAGTGATTCAAGAGGAAGGTTTATATGTGTAATACATTGCACCCGTGCGAAGCCGGGGCTGGTCGGTTGTATTGAAATAATAAGATAATTCTTTGTTTAGACCTACTTCTATGCGACTGAAAGGATGTAGCTACATAACATCTTAGTACCGATTTACCAAGTTATGTATGAAAGTAGACTGAATTAGTTAACTTAACCTCTTATTAAGGTTGAAGAATCCCATCCTACAGGTTTAGACAAAACTGTTGAATAATAACTAAAAGCATGAGATTCCTAAGACTTATACAATCCAATAGTAATGGGATTTGTCCGACTGCAGAAGCGAAAGTGTAGATACGTACAGAAGGCGGCATTAATAAATAGCCGAGTCTCCGATAAGGCGTGATTCATTGCGGCGCAGCCAGCTTAATTATTGAGCACGGAACTGGAGTTCGACGCTTTCTATGAATTATGAGTGTTCGATATCCAACGCTGCACTACTATGGGCACTTTACATTTCTGATCTGCTCAGAGGTAGGGTATAAGTTGCTGCTGTAACGGTAGAGCTGAATTGCTGATGTTGCAGATATACAATAAATTATTTAAATGCCCTCCCTCAATCTATTTAACAACGAATCATAGAAAGGATGTAAAAGTTCTCATGAGGTTTAATATACTTAATCGAGCTACCATTATGAATTAATTGTTTCTATACGATTAATATAATTAATACGATTAATAATATTTACATGACTCCGTGGCACAGTCGCCAAGGTATCGGCTTCGGCGTCAGGGGTCGTGGGTTCGATTCCCACACGGGACAACTATTTGTGTGTCCCACAGATAGTTGTTTCGCATCTGGGTGTTTGTCCGTGTGAAATTTATGTTTGTAAAACGTCCTTACAACACAGGACAATGTAATCCTAAAGTAAGTACAATGTCTGTCGTCTTTGACGTTTATAATATAGCAATTTCGTGAATGGGCAAAAAACATCTTAATCGGCAACAGTACTGTAGTCAAAAGTCATCATTGTGCAACAGTACTAAATTGAAGAATTGAAAAAATAATTTTATAAAAAAATTTCTTAACCCCATGCGCTTTAGTATGTACTTAACATACGAACATACAATAGTTATCTAATACCTTTGAACAAGAAGATCAAAAAAGGTCCTCCAGGTACTTATATACAAATACGAAGTAGATATGACACTAACACACCGAAATTAAGGCACTTTCGATTAGATTGCAATTCTATAGACTGCTATCCCTTTCCGTATCATACGTTCTATCCTATCTGTCTCATTCACTCATATAATATGTCATATAATGTAAAGCGGAATAATCTTTAAACGCTTCACAGTATGGACATACTTCAGCTTTATTAAAACGTCTTAAGAGCGACTTGTATCGTATACAATGATGCGTTTCGAAACGCAATTACAGTTACGCCCGTGGATTCAGCCGAATGGCTTCACGGCCGAATGAGCCCAAGGGTCCTCGTCGCCGGGCCCCTGCTGCCAAATCCCGGGGCGGGCGAGAGGCGCCGCTGTCCCAACACCTCGGGAACAAACCGGCCGTCTCAGATAAGCGACGTTTACCGAACTGCAGAAGGATCCTTCCACGAAAGAGCTAAGAACCACATAGACAGCCCGTATATAAAAAAGCTCCGTCTGCCCAAGATGCCAACAGAAATGAAAACTTATTTTGGCACGTTAAATATTTTTTACATAAATAAACAATTTTGATTAGAAGTTATTTAAATATCTCGTGAGCGGTATTCACGAGATATTCATATAACTTGGAATCAATAGTACTTTTATATCTCGTTGTGCTAATATTGCGTTGATTGGACATAATAAAATCAAATTCTCTATTCAAAAACTCAATTAAGCACACACTATAGTTGCATCTGGTAACGATGTCGCGAGTCCAGAGATTGAATCTCATCTAAAATATGCGTACCGCGCTAAAAGAACTTTTCATTTCGAAAATTTAATCTTTTTTTATCTATATAAATTTGAATGATTTCATAAAATAACTATTTTAAAAGTGTTTACCAGACAGATGATTAATTACTATAAAGTTACATTTCGTTGTGTCTATTATTTAGCGCATTTTTATTGTATCTCTTCTACTCTGTAGGTTTGATATCTACACAGTATTAAGTAGTCGGCTACATTTGTTAATAGAAACAGTTTGAATTGAAAGTTTATTAAAGAAACATAATTATGTCGATTAAATTTCGACGTAGATGTTTCTTCAATAAACTTGTTGCCTTTGTTGTATTTATGAAATGAGCAATAACTTGAGTATAGACCTCTGTTTAACTACCTTTATCTTTATAGTTACACATTTTAAATATACCAAAATGTTTACGCATTGAAAAATGAAGGATAGAGGGAATAGGAAATTGCTTAAAACAATATAATAATGTATTGTAAAATAGCCAGCTCTAAGGCGTTTTTAGCTCTTCAGCACAATCTTGAGGGTCAGTTGAACAAATCGGCGACAGGGCCCAGCCGTGATAAGGCGCTCGTAACGCGCAGCCGGCGCTCAGGGGCTGGCGATTAGACTCCGGCCACGGCCGGGGATCGAACCAGGTGGGATTTAAGGCGGCGACGGTAATTCCCCGGATTTATGCGACGACATTGCGCGATCCGTTGGAAACGATCGAGGCAAATTAAGCCATTCACGTTTATGTTCATGATGATGCCTCTTGTTACTGTATTGTACAGTTTTAGGGTTCCGCGCCCAAAGGTTAAGACGGGACCCAGCTTGAGCGATGCGCCTATAACTCATGTGTATAAAACAATGCGTTTGCTTATTTGAATTTGTTAAACAGAGTTTTAGGCATTGCCAGGGAAATTGAACCATATCAAACAGATGGTTATTAAATGCTTCCTAAATATGAAAAAATATAGTTTATGGTAATAAAATCTAATTTGTGTACTGTATGTATATTATACATCATGTATTGCAAATGGCACATTTAAACAGTTTTTCATTTTTTCGCAAATATACTTGATGAACAGAAAAGATCGAAAGGTGGGTTCACCTTGGCTTGGCATGCTGTGATTAATGAAATTTAATTATACACTGCCAAACCGTGTAAATTATTGAACTAAGTGAAAACTAATATTAGTTAAAATATTTTGTGCTATTGACAAAGCAAACACATTTGGAATCAATTTCATGGACTTCCCATGGCAGAAATGGTCATCGTCATATGAACAATAATCTGATCTGTTCAAATGACATTGAAATTTTATGCGAATGTATTCATTTCTTGTATATATTTTCAAATTTCTCATTTCCGTCATATAAAAAAATACTCACTTGTACGTAATATTTCGTTCTGATTTTAGGTTCTCTTACCTGAAAAAGAAACAAAACATATCAATATGATATTTAAAAGTATGATAAAAGAATCTGGTAATTGATTTTAACCATAAATATGATGGCCTGGTTTCCTATTTAAACTAGCTAATACTAACAATAATATTAAGCTTTCGTACTAGGTATTGACAATGGCAGCCTAGAGGGATGTTAAATTAGCAAGTTCTGGTTCCAATAAATATGAATTGTGAAAAAAATAAGATGTTTTACTAAAATTTTACGACGGCAGGTCCAAAGCCTTTCATGGTTGACGTGTTGAAAGTAAAAACAGCTTTAAAACAGTACTTCTGTCTCCATTATTAGTATTTTTTATGTTTTTAAATTTGTCATGTATAGTATTTTTTTAACCGCTAATGTTCTCAACCTTAATACAAGTAATAAAAGTGCACTGCGAAACTATGATTATGAGCAAATATGAATTCTATGAAAACTTGGTAATAAATCACAGTAGCTACTGCAAAACGACTGAGATGCTTACAACGCTTAATACGTAGTTCATCTTCAGGAAGGTCATTAGATGGGCAGAAGTACATTCCGTATCTTTTCACAAGCCCTTTCCATATTGTTATTCAATGTCCACACCACAAAAGGTGCAGCATCAACAACGCATCTGCAACCCTACGTATGTTGCAAATGTGGGCGGCTTACCACTCAGGTGAACCGCTAGCACGTTTGCCACATTCTCAAATAAAAAAAGGTAACGTTTCGTCTTGAAACTTTCTAATTATATTTCTCGCCTATACTACATTTCGCCTCCTGTACTATATTTCTCGCAATTATTTATCCCGCAAATATTTCGCCTGTACTATATTTTTCGCAATTATTTATTGATTAAATACAATGTTTCATTAAAACCTATGTAAACTGTGGCCATAGAAAGGTTTTGAGTTTTTTGTTTCACTACTGCGCAATTGAAAAGAACGCGGCGCGATCCATAAATTCGTCTGTGGGACCGAACTAGAGGGCAGCCGGGGGTGAGCGTTTGGACCTGGTCCAAGGGACGGCCGCAGCCTACGCCGCGCTCCTAGTTTTGTCACTGAATGATTTACGCGGACGTCTGCGTCTCTTGACGCAATGCGTAATTACGAACATCTGCCCCTAACAATACTTCTAACATCAGATACCTCCTGCAAAGGAGATACATCCTTTACCGGGATGTCGATATTATTTAAAGTGAGCCTGTATGATTGAAATATGTGTGCCTGGTGTGTTAATGTAGTTATTTTGTGTTCTTAGTAAAAATGTATATAGATAAAGATAACTACAAAAAAAATGCACAATGAATGTTACGTGTGTCATCAATCATTAAAGCCTTTGTTTTCATTAACTTGTTTATCTGTTCGGCTTAAGTTTTCTTAGGTTTGAAAGTAACGAGCAACAACTTGGTAATGAGTAATTAAAACTTTAAACATTGCTCTAAACTCTCTTCTAAGGTAACTCTTGGTAATTTGGTTTCTCTTCGCTCTCTTTTTAGAGAACGTAACGCTTTTTACTTAATTTACTTTACATTTAATGCCGTTGAAAGAACGCAGTACGTGAACGATACTTAATATAAACATAAATAATTTATATTCAAATAATTTATATTGGGTGCAAATGGATAGTGTTGTCTGTACGTGTTCGTGCTTGAAGTTTTCGTGTATAAACAGATCGTGTCTCCCGCAATGGCGATTCAATTTATCGGTAGGCGCGCATACGTGTACCGTCGTAAGTACAAGTTTCAATGAGCGTTCCTCACGAGATGCGACATCGTGGATTTGCGGTGACAAATGTGGCGGGGCTCCGTTAATGAAGAGTAATCCGCGCTGGGACGAGGTCGGCCGTGAGCGCATGCGCCGTGAGATGGTGCGCGTTCGCATTGTCTCACGGTACGGTAACGTCAGTTAAATATGATAATATTCAGATATATATCGTTCGCTTATAATACCGTGGAGCTAAAATATCGACGTTGTAACCAGAAATAATCAACCATCCATTAGATAAGGGCAATAACTTCAGTTGTGAGTTGTTAGGTGGTCATGTTGAGGCTATGCAGGTTTATGAAATAAAAAATGAAAAATATGAAATAAGAAATGTGAACGGTGTAGACATTTTTATAAGCCTTAGACTGCAAAACTGTAAAAAAAAAGTACTAGCAATGCGAAAGGTTTTGACGATATTAGTGCAGATTTTAGTTTTACAAATTATTATTATTTTGTCTATTACGATGTTTAATTATTGATCTTCATATATGTCAGAATGCTTTTAGGCTGCTATCCATTTTAAAATAAATGGACTTAAAAGTATGTCCATTTATTTATCATAACTATCTTGAAAGGGAAGCAAATGACCACATATTATAAGGGTAACAAAATCGTACATTGCAATTTTTCTGAAAATTATCAGCAATGTGACGTACCGTTTAAGCTAATGTACACACGCAACATCAGACTGTAACATGCTTATCTATTTGACTTAATGCCGCTCTAAACACATTGTCGTGTCGCTACAATATGCGTAATTAGCCCCGAACTTCTCTGTTGCAAACGTTTGAAAGGATTTTAATGTGTTTGGGGTTGTTGATCCCTCTTTCCCACCAATTATCAACTTTTCCAACGGTAAGTAACGAATTCATTGGATGCGTTTTACTATCGACACGTATTTTTGGATTTTACGATCGGTGTTTATACTGAAAGTTTAAATAACAGTTGAAATGAAAACTCTTTATATCTCATCCTTAACATATAACTAAATATATGTTAAGTCAATCGTATTCAATGAAAATTATTTTCCCTTGACTCTCAATATCAAATTCAAGTGCTAAGATTTTAATTGAATTACTCGTATTTGTCTGCAATGTACGAGATGAGATCCCGTCAATTAACTATACGATTCTCGTTCAAATTCATTTAGATAAGTTCTGAACCGGAACATTTTAGCTTAATATTTGATGACTCCGTGATGCAGTTTTCAAGGCTTTGGTACCGGGCCTCGTGGGTTTGAATCCCACACGACTATTTGCGTGACACACAGATAGTTGTTTCGGATTCGGGTATACGTCCACATGAAATTTATGAATATAAAACATTCTTACAACACAGGATAATGTTGACCTATAGTAAGGGCAATGTTTGATAAAATTAATATGGTAGTGGCAAAACTACCATAGTACGTTGATAAAACTTTCGACTTTAACATAGCATAAAAGAAAGATGGAGACATTACTACGTTTAAATCTTCCCACAAAGCGAACCGCTAAGACAACACAACTTATTATCGTAATGTAAATGATATTCGCTATTGTAAAATTGTGAGTGCAGGCTATTGAAACTAATTGTCTAAATCCCTGCAATTGCAACGAAATGGTCTAACCCGATAGCATAGATTACCAGGATTGTGGCATTGAAATGCTGAATTATTTATTCGCATTTAATCCAGCTGTGTCAACGACCCAAAGTTCGCCTAGAGACCGTGCAGTGGTTTACACGCAGGACTCCGGTATATGGTCAGCATTTCGTATCTCAAAAATCCAGGACATTCTTTTAAACTCTGCCAGGTTCAAGGTGACAGACTTCTGCGGCTTATTAAAGTGTGGCTCAAAATCAATAGATTTCCCAACGGTTGTTTAGTTGGTGGGCAATAACGGAAATGTTAAGAGTTACGAGTATATCCTACGGAATTTATTTTATATGGTGCCCTTAGCTGAATGCCTAAGCGTCGACGGGCGACGGAACAATGGGCCCGCATATTGAAGCTATTATAATTTACAACAGAACGTTCAAATCTATAAATATGTGAAAAGGAGGACGAACGCGGCCTACTGGTTTTATTTTTTTGTCATTGGTTCAGTTATTTTTATGTCAAGCCCGTGATTCTGTTCGCAGGATAGCCTATTGCAGTGTAGTCCATTGAATTGTGGTAAAGTTCGTAAAGGAGTTTTTCGATATTCCAACCTTACCTTACCAATAACATGATCGCATTTTGTATTTGTATTTAGTGTGGATACCCGAACGACCACTACGAACTAGAAGATATATTGTCTATTATTTATGCTCTAGGATAACTTTATCCTGTGTAGCATGTATTATAAGGACATTTGTGTATATACTATATTTGTGTATAGACACAAATTTCACCTGGATGAACAGCCAGATCCGAAACAGTTATAAGTAGGCCTCAAATAGTTGTCTCGTTTCGTTCGTGGAGTTGAATCCATTTCTGTATCCATTCCGGGGCTCAACTGCGTCTTCATTGACTACATAGGCAATGCGACTTAATTCTGTTGTCCATTACAATAAGCCTGCATTCTTTTCCCATTACGTCTTCGAATGAAACGTCCGATCGTGTTGTACTGCGATGACTTGCCGATTGGGGGTCCACAATTAACATGTGACAAGTGTTTCTCGCGCGTTAATTGGCGTCGCTGCCCCGGGACCTCTAATGCGTGCTCTTAACGCGCGCCTAACGACCGTTACGCGCCTCAACCACGGGCCACGCGGCTCGCAACGCCTCCATTAACAATTAATGCATCCGCCGCCATCGAAGAATGCCGCAATTTGTAAACGTCGATTCATCGAATCCGTTTAGAGTTCCTTATGCGCGCTTGGATTTATTAAAACACATATGGGTTGACCACTGTTCGAAGGCACTTTCATCAGACGATTCGGCTTGTTTGCAATGATATCATCTAGACTAGACTTCAGAGGTTCATTGATTGATATTTATTTATAGTTATCATGTAACTTGTCAACTTTTAACACATCATGCAGTGATTGTTTCTGCCTATGAGAGAATGAACCTCACTGACAGCATAGAATGCAAAGGTATAAATAACTCTTTTGCTTTTAATGACAGTTGTAGGTTATTAATGCCAGTCTCGTAAGACGGGATACTACTTCTCCAGATTTGATATACTGTAGCATCGCTATATGAGAAATATTCTAAGCAATACAAGTATTTAATTTAACTAAATTAATATAAAATGTCTAGTGAAATTCGTAAAAATATTTAAAATCCTGCAGTATACAGGGAGATTTTTTTGAGAAGTTCACAAATTTACACAGGAGGTTCAGACTCGGTAGTATAATCGTTTATTGAAATAAAAAACAATTTTTTTTTTCAAAAAAAATGCCACTATTCCCTAAAAAACAGACCGTGTTGACAATGCGGTAGTCATTCATAAATACCTAAATTTCACTGTGCACGAACTTGTGTGTACTACACAACAACTAACACTAGATATGAATGATCGCGCGTAAAATAAATGAGTTCCTCATAAGTCACGCACTTTTTGAGATAAGTTCAAATGAATGTAATTAATTAATAACGAGTGATTTTAAATATTAACCTTTTTTATATAACATTATTTATGTCTAGAATTTAATGTAAATAATGGATACACTTAGAAAAGCCACCCTGTATATAATTTTTGAGCAATTATTATTGTTATAACTAAATTATGATACATAACATTCTCAAAAACTGGTTTTAAATTTCGTAACTAATTCTCATTTGTAATTTAAACGGAACCCTTATACTTCAAAATCGCTGCAGTGTCGTCGTTATTCTTTTTAATTGCAAGACCCTCGATATAAGTATGACAACCGCTACGAGGAACAACACTCGATGCTTAACGACGACAAAATGGCGTTGGACACAAAATGGCGGCTGCTGGCATTGTTCGTTCTGTGTTTCGCTTTCCGTTTGGACAGAGTGACGTCGTCGCAGGAGGTTATGAAGCAGCTGACGACCGGTTTCATAAAAGCTCTGCAGATTTGTAAGAAAGAGGTAAGCTTAATGACATGACATTGGCAGAATTCTTTTAAGAGAGGCCATTAATCAAAGAAGAAGACGAAGAAGAAGAGGTAAGCTTTTTCGATTAGTTCCCCTAAATGTTACAAGTTGCAAACACCTACAGGTATTGGGTACCCATATGCGAACAGAACAGGGAAAAAGAATAAACAATAAAAAAATATTGCAATGATAGAGCTAAATATCAGCGTTTGTTATAGTTTGAACTGACAGATGAGGGTAGTCCGGACGAGTATACCCATCGATCTTCTGATGAACGTAGAGCAGAAGTATTTCTGCTGTTGTATTTCACCTGATAAATGGAGTAAACGAGCCCTATTCCTTAAAGCCTAGCAACACATCTAGAATCCAGAGAATTTTGTCCATAGACGGCGGTAATCCATTAACACCATCGCTTCTTGTTTATCATAGCAAATTCGTAACGGCAAAATTTACTTCTTTACAATATTGGTATAAATTGAATTTGCAATGGGGCCGCGTCATGGACCATACTCTGGTGCTTTTTCATCTCTACAGAAACAAGTTTTACTAGATTATACTACTTGGCCTACTGGAACTAAACGCAATCCTTGCTGCAATGTATTTTACAGCTCAATCTCGGTGACCACATAATGCAAGACTTCATGAACTTCTGGCGGGAGGAGTATGAGTTGGTGAACCGAGAGCTGGGCTGCGCCATCAGCTGTATCGCCCTCAAGCTGGACCTGATAAGCGAAGACCTGAAGATGCACCATGGCAACGCGCAACAGTTCGCTATCAATCACGGCGCTGGTGAGCGAATACGTCTTTGCTATGCCTTGCATTTATACAATACTAAAATGCAACCTATATACAGCGTGTCTTTACCACCGCGACAATAAATGAACACACGTCTAACGATGCTTGCGAATAATAATAAAAAAATATTAACGTTAAAAAAATCCATAATTAAAAAAAATATTTTTCAAACAAACTAATTAAGTAAAAAAGAAACAAAATTTGTAACATCCTATACAACTACAACTGAGTGATTCATACATTCAGAGACTTTTTCATTCGTTGCCACAGCGCCGCATTACAACCGTCTCCTTCTAACAGTATGTTTTGTCTCCTTTAAATTCATTCAACCCATTCATATGCTTGGTGACCTTTACAAATGAACTTTACATTAAAGTTTTATACGTAAGGATGTTCTAAAATTCTATGTTTTGGAAAGTTCTATAACTCGGTAAATATTGATGATTAAAGAATGTAAATCTTTAATACAATTTTAAAAAGTTATCCTCTGTATGTGTGTTCATTTATTGTCGCGATGGTAAAGACACGCTGTATATATATAAAAATTTAGCTTCTGCATGTTTGTGCCCACAAAACTCAAAAACTAGAAGACGTCTCGACTTGTTTTTTTTTTACTAGATATCTATTAAATAGGACAGTTTTTTTTATATACCTTTTATTACGAAGTCCAACGAAAACGAAAAAAAAATGCCACCGCGAAGCGTGGTCGGGTTGTACTAGTACAAGATAATTTCACATGTCAACAATATTCAAAAAGGGTACAGTGTTATTTTTATGAGCAATGTCCACAAAAATTAAAGCCCTCTCGTGCAAGCCACTATATTTCGAACCTGAAACCACTACGCTAACGGCCTACCTTTTAAGCCTCTTCGAACCGATAAATAGGCCTTTAGTCTCCTTTGCGTAGGCTCCATAGCCTATACAGAGGAGGCTTTTACCAACTTTATAAGTCGTTATCATGTTACTATATTTATATAATATACTTTGTAGATTGATATACATATCAAATATACAAGAAAGTTATTGACTTAAAATAAAACGTTTATTAGGTTAATTAGTGTTATGTATATTGAAAAATATATATTATGTACTAAATTTTACAATATTTAATTTAATAAACAATTCAAATTGTCATTGAACAAATGAATAATTGCATTAAGTATTCTGCCATTCACTATCTGTGTAAAACAACGCGAGCTTTGGCTGAGGTTGTGAGTTTGCATGAAGGTTTGTTCGTGGGATTTCTTCAGAAGGGTTGTCCAGATAGTAGATAGGACACGGGGCGGGCATCCCGGCCCGTGTTTTGTTAGTATACTGTTATCGGAAGGTCTGTTTTGCATTCGTTGGGAATAAAAGGAAGCTATCATAGGAAACAGGAGTGTGCATCAATAATATTTTTTACGGTCGACCAAAAACTGTCGGGATCAAGCAAAATAAATCGCTATTGTCTCTCTAAATATATGCACATTTTACACATGCAATGACAGTCATGGTCATGGGACATGTTTACTTATTAATAATTGATTAATTTTAATAAGCCATTTGCATGGCTGTGGGACCATTATCTGAATATTGTACAAAAATTGTCGAAAACTTGCCCATTAAAAAACTACCACACATGTATGCTGATCAATCACTTATTTTAAATCCTAGCCACGCAGGTTTAATCGTCAATTAAAGTAAATCAATAAATAAAATTGTTATCAACATTTCCATTGAAGCTGTCGATGAGAGTCAACTCGCTCTGGTATTCCTAATTAAACGAGAGAACTAAGATACTACGGATCTTGTTCACACGAGTAGACGGCTGTCTTAAAATCTATGACGCTAAACATAAGTTTCCAAAATTGATCCTTGCCTTGACGTCTGTAGTATGATCCAAGGGATCCTTGATGAATAAATATAATTTGAAATCTAATAATAATAAATATAATTTGAGATCGAAAGTTATCAATGTATCATAAAAGTAATTTTTGGTTTGCAATTTAGTTTTGGCAGAGGTCAATTGGTATTAATTAAATTTTGGCCTGGAAATTAGTTTAGACAGAGGTCAATGTCTGAAATGATTCTTGTATGAACTGTTCTAGACGAAGAAATGGCCAAACAACTTGTCACGATGATCCACGAGTGTGAAAAGGCCAACGAGGGTGGCAATGACGACTGCATGAGAGTACTGGAGATCGCCAAGTGCTTCCGCACCAGAATCCACGAATTGAAATGGGCACCATCCATGGAGGTCATCCTTGAGGAGGTCATGACTGAAGTCTAGGTCTCTTTATGCTGGAGTAGAACAAAGGGGTTTTCTGTTTTAAGTTCTAATGTGTGTAAAAATCAATCCCAGATCAACTTTTTTTTGAACTTGTAACTTTACACTTGAACTTGTAACTTGTTGTATTGAATACTATCTTCGATACGGTCGTTTCTTAATAAAATTTGAGTTAAATTAAAAAAAAAATTGAAAATTAAATTAAAATTAATAACTTAGCGATTTAAAGGCCCGATGTATATGCTTTTGTTTAAGGGACTTCGACGTATTACACTATTTTAGTTCTCCCACAAAACTCGTCAGCTAGTTCCTAGTCTAGTTTAAGAATTATTCACTATTTAAGCGTTATTAAATATTCCTTTAATTATAAATAATTAATAATTATTTGGTGAATGGAAAAGAATAGGTGTTTAATAAATTCGTATTGGTTAATCGTGTTTTCATTTTATGCCAAAATATTCATTTAATCGATAGCAACTGAGCATAATTATAATTTAAATAATGTTTCATCGAAAGTGAATATCGACATAAAATTAAATAAAAATTATAATTTTGGAAGCAATTTAAAGAGAGGATTCGAGAAATGTAACGTTTGATTTATGTTAGAGGTAAAATTGCAGCAGACTGTGCGTGTACTTAAGTAATTGACCAATAGTCGTTGCAGAGAACTGAGGTTCGCATTGATGGTTACCCCCACAACGGTGTTTATCGTATAATGCCTGATATTTATGCTAGTAACATGTCCATTCTGTTCTGCATTTGAGTTTGACCTTCATTGTAAACTATAGTCAGATCAATAGGTACAGTACAGTGGGTCCAAATCAAAAAATAAAAAAAAACAAATTGTCTCGTTTATGTTTTAAGGCGCTTATTTTTGCGAAAATCTAACAGGCTGTAAGCCTTTCAATTCATCACAAATGAGAGCCAATGATTGCTGCTCGTAGGAAAAGCGAAAACCATAACCTTAGGTCTCAAATCCGACGACTTATCCGACCAAACCATTGATACATTCTGGGTCAAAGCGTGTTATTTACAAAACATTTAAATCACCTCAAAATTTTAAAAACGATTACATATGAAGCGGGAATACCTTTAAATAACATTTACATATTACATAAGTATTATATAGAGAAAAAGTAAGGAAGGCTGACCCCACCACCGTGTGGGATATATAGCTTGGAAGAGAGATAAATATTATATATACATACACAAATATTTCTGTTGACACACCTACGTCTACTTTGTTTTTGATTTAGTGCGTGCTGTTATCGAGAGTTGAACTCTGATATTCGAGTGTACAAATTGAAAGCAAGCAGTCGGGCACTAAACTACAAACGGCTCTTATAATGAAGGTTGCTCGTAAATATGGTGCATACGTTGAAGCGGGGCAGGTGTGTTGGTATGATGCGAAATAGTGAACCATTAAATCTGTTTACCGCCCTTAATGACAATGTGGAAAGGCTATAAATCTACGTATCTAAGTATATATTAAGTCGTTGAAAGGTTTAAGCCAATTTACTGTAACAGGAAAATATAAGTAAAAAGTCAAACCTACAAAAAATATTATTATAGAATAAGGTTTGAAAGTTAGCAATCATAATGGAAACTTGAAATTATGGCAATCATGAGAGCTTGTATTATATCCTGTAGCACGTGTATAAGACGCAATTTGATGTAGTAAATTAATGGCTATGGTACCCCTAAGTTTAAAGCCTGGCTCCATAAAACTTTTTTATGTAAATGCTTGCAAGCAACCTCTGCATTCATCATATCATAGATGTACAAATACTAACACTTATAACAAAGATAAATTATATTATAAGTTGTCATCTTTTTAATTTTTATCATGCGCTACTGAGGAATAGCACAATACAATAAATAACAGACAATTTGATATATCTACTTGTTCTCGAATTTACGCCTAACACCCTTTGGATGTTGAAACACGCCTCTCCCAAGGCACACCATAGAATGTATCTTTGGTTGCACTACCAGGTAAAGGGTAAATATATTTTGTGGTTCATCTGGTGAATGATTTTTTTAAAGATTGGGATGTTGTGGTTGTAGGTACATGTAAAGGGACAGTGGTAATCAACTACATTTTTATAAATTCATTTTGTTGTTAGTTATGTTGGGAAATGCATAATTTGTAATACAGCTGTTTCTATACCGTTCTCGATAATTTGATGCATGTAAATACAATTCAATACATTTTAATTTTGATGTATCCGATGAACAAACACTTTCTTTTTTCCCTAAACGTTTCCCACTGCGTAAGGGACGTGTTGAATAAAACATATGTTGTTCTGTTACTTTTCTCGAAACTTCCAGAATAACTGGTGGGAGGGAGAATTTATTGTATGATATTATTTCCGTGTAATATAATATGTGAATGTCGCTCTACGTATTCGTATCACGCCCGCGCAACAGGGGTAAACAATAAGAACTGGTCGCAGGTGCGAGAACGTTTAAATGGGGATGGGGAAATGGGATACAATGCCAAATTGTGCCAGTCCAAGAACCATTCGATTGTTGCTCAGATTTTTAGTGCTGTAGCAAAGATTATACTCATATAAGTAAAGAAAACAGGTGCAATTGAAGAGAAAATTACATGTTATAATGTTCTTGGCGTTGTTTTGATAAATATTTTTTTTAAATATATATATATATATAATATAGGAGTAGATTTAAATATGCATATTATGTTTTTGTGAGAATTTAGCAAGCGATTCAACCGATGTTGTTGGTGACATTTGTAATACCCGTAGGATTGCATATGCGTTGCCACTTTTAATAAAGTGGGCCCCGGCTACCTCACTCACGAGACGAGACGCAGGAGTATAACACTTCCACTTCACGCCGGTCTTCCATTACGTCGTGTTACTTACAGGCGGACCGCTGCCCGTTAGTGCAACAGCGAAGCCGAGGACTGTTGGGTAGCCCTGCCACAGATGCTTAACATACTATTCAAATTCTAATAAAGTAATAAAATAATCTTTGTTTTAATAAATTACGATTGAATAACATTTAAAGTGCAATAAATTAGTACAACAATAAAAGTTAGTGCCCATTACACATGAGAGCATATAGTTTGTAAGGCGAGGGAGTTGTGGTGGGCATGTGCGATTTCTTACGTAGATTGAATTGCTGTTTATTTATGCTTATAGACCGCCCTCGGCTACTGCTGTCTTTCTTATCATACAGACGAGAAATTTACGACACACGCTCGATAGCTCGATAGCCTTCTCTACTCCCACGCAGTAAAAATGTCACTGCTTAGCTCGAAGAGCAAAAATCTCATGTGATTCAAATATATAAAATATATATATAGTGTTAAGAGTGTTAAAAGATCCTTAGAGTAAATATATAGTGTTAAGAGATCCTTTCGCTATTTTGAAGTAAGTTTAAAAGAAGTCAGAAGATCTTGTGTGAGTAGGAAATTAATAAACTCGCTTCTGTTAACGATTAATGAACCTAATAACATTTCGCACTCTCATTCGATTTTTGAAAATACATAATTAGTTATAAATATAAATATGGACATACTATATTAAAGACGTTAAAATCAATTTAACTTTGATTTATGTAAAAAATTTCATTTGAAGTAAGTAAAGATGATCTTAAAACTGTTTTTGCGCAAATTTTAATCTGGTAAAACTTTCCTGATAGCATTTTTTACAATACGTTTGCAGGTAACTATGAGTTAGTTATATTATACATAACTATATTGAATTGTACCATTAACCATAACCTATTTAATGAGATTGTCATTTATCATCACTACGACCGTTGACATTTAGTTAATTATAAAATTATTGGGATGCCTGGAAGATGGGTTAGAAAGTAATCTATAAATTACGTACTTTTATAAAGGAGCAGCCGATAAAAGCGTGTTAACTGAATCTTTGTACTAACAGTACTGCGCTGACTTCCTATGTCGTTAGCATCGCTAACATTCAAGCGTCGGGACAATGGACAATCAGGTACAGCGTTGCAATGTATGGGGCGGCGTCGCCGTAACTCCTCGGGGACCGCTGGGGCACATCCTGATTCCAGTGCTATCGGAACATCGAACTTCAATTAGGGCTCTCCGCGAGGAACTGGACCTGGGTGTGCGCGATTGTACTGTCCCGACTTGCCCACTGTGGCATATTTGACAGGTCTCAGTGCGCTTAACAGCACTTCTCCGCTTACAACGTTTTGATGTTATATATATAACTAGCTGACCCGACAGACGTTGTCCTGTCTTAACGATGACTATTTCATTCGAATTGGTATAATTAATAAAAAAGTATGTTTATTATTCTAATGCTTTTTGATATACAATATTCTTGGTTTTTTTTTCTTGTGCGTATATAAATAGTTTTGTTGGTACTCCGACACGCGAACAGGGGACATATAACTGGCCATGTGAAAAACATGGATTTTCAAGATTGATGCCACAAACACTTAGCAACGACGACAGTATTAGTATTCTTAAATTTTCTAATTTTCCGCGCAATTTTTAAATTTTTTTCTTTCATAAGAACCTTCTCCTGATAATAAACAGCAAAAAAAGTGTAATCGGTCCAAACATTCACACGTGATGGCGTGATCAAGGGAAATAGGGATTCATTTTTATATATATAAGATTATGACTATTGCGCATTATTTATATACATATTTTTTCATTGCTTAGTTTGTATTTTTTCTTCTTTATAACTGTGTCATAAAGATCAAGTTAAGTAATAGACTAACAAACTGTACGAATATATACTTACATTGTTTCAATTACAACTATTAAAATTAGTTTGTTTATCTTTGTTATAGATTATCAATGAAACTATTATATTTTGAAAAGCTACAGCATTGCACGACGAACAGTGAACCTCTGTTCTCTTATCAGATGTGAGCAGTGATCTCCATGGCTCCAATAGAGGACAAGTTTACAAAAGACCTGGAGATCTGTATTGTGCTGCTTGAGTGGAAAGGTGGAATTTACAGAAGGTTCCCAGATAAGGTTAGTGGGCATACAATGAAGGCAAAACCTGAGTTGGTTTTCATCGAAACCAGCGGCAGATTTGGAGATTTTGCGAAACTATACATATATTATGAAAGATAACAATTTCTTGTATTTACGCGATTACACATTACTAAATGACACAGGAGAACCATGAACGCCGTAAAGGGTTTGAAACGTCTGGAATTACAAGTCAATATTTTATTAACGAAAAACAAAACTGACTTCAAATATGTCGCTGTGGTTTTATAATTGATTTTCAGGAGTCCTTACGTATCTCCGGGGCCCAAGATCCAATACCAATGAAATTAATATGGGACCAAATGGGAAGCACCAGATTTCAAATAAAAAAAAGAACCATCAAAATCGGTTCACTTCGAAAGTTCTGAGATAACAAACTTAAAAAAAAATACACTCAAATTGAGAACCTTCTCTAAGAATATAAGAAACTTTAGTGGACCATTTCGTTCCCTACGCAAGTTTCATCGGTGAAAACTTTGGACTACTGCAGGTTAATGCCATACTGCAGCTTCTGTTCGCCGATATCTAAAAAATTAAGTGCATTGAGTGGGCAAGCACGTAGTCCGGACTTAAATCCTACTGAGCATTTGTTGTAAATTTTGTGTTACGAAATCTCAAGGAATCGTAAAAATGAAAACACGGATTACATTCACAAGAAATTTAATACCAGTGTCACCGTAACGTGATACTTTTAGTTTATTTTTATAGGTAACCGTTGAGATCATTAGTACAGGCCGAAATGGACGATAGGTGCCCAGCCAAGCCGGTACATGCTGTTGCGAAAACACTTCATCACATGCAGGCCATCGGTGCAGTTCTTCCTGAATCCAGCTGCCGGTGGCGGGCGACAGTTTCGAAATACTTCCACTAGTCTTACCACCGTTTCATCGTCTATGCAAAAAAAAATAATTATCATTTTTAAGATTCCACGACTGTCATCTAATTATTTAACTTATACTTCTTTCGGACGGTTTGGAAAATAATTTAGTAAGCGACGTGATGAAATTGGTTGCAAAGCGAAGTTTAACTTCTTACGTGAGGTCAAAACACATTCGTCACTAACGAAACATCCGTAGAGTGACCAAATCACAGTTTAGATGATCGAAATAATTTCATACTTATGGTCAAGGCATTTCTTTTGAAAGATCTATTATCATGAAAAAGAAAAGTATATAATTTGGTGGAGGTACCGGCACCCTTGGCGAGTACAAAATTTGTCATGTTCTTTTCAAGCAACTGTCCTTTCCCATCGTATAGATTCAGTTTGATCAGGCTGCACATTGCCACACACCCAAAATTTATGTCCATTATGTCGGTGTCGGATCTCCAATAATTCACAACTTGCTCGAGGATACTCATCCCTGGATACAACTGGGAAGTTTAGATTGCTACGATTATTCGACATAGATGATTGTATCTATTAGGGGGACAAGTTAGAGTTCCGAGACATTAAAATTAAAGCAAAATTCTCTCAATTCAATAGGCCTCGTGGATTGATTGAGAGAAATTCAAAAAATTATTAGCGTTGTGCTAACCTACCGAACCGTTGCATTAAACAGTGACGTAAACTAAATAAATTAATTGCAATTAGATGTTCTTTTCACATTACATTCTGCTTGAAGTTCCATTTAAGGTAAGAGACGATTCTCTCGATTTCTCTCCTAGTCATTTAGTCTAAGAGTTTTCTATTTTACTCGGAATAGCAATTTCATGTTGGTGGCAACATTAATTAAGTTTATTTCCCACGTTTAAACATATAAATGCAACAAGTTGTTTTATTGTCAAGGTGGCTTCAAGGTAATTTCTGAAAGTAAATAATTCTTTCTACTAACAAGAACATTATTTACTTGTAGAGTCGAAATTTATCGTGATCGAACTTTTTTAATAAAACTGTTCAGTGAAATAGTGCTAAAATATAAGTTTACAAAATTATAAGTTATGTTTTAGTTAAAATGCAGTAATAAATAGCAGACTCAAGTTGGAAGTTTTTTTAATAAGAGCTTCAAACAATTGCGATACAGGATTAAGTATGTATTAGGATTAAGTGTAAATATATTTTAACAACGTTACAAATTAAAATTACAAGCCCGAAGTTTCAATATAATATATAAGAAAACAGAAGGACGATATTAAAAATATGATAAATCAATTTAGCAATGCAAACAAACTGTTTGTCAAACTCAAAGTATTCATACCGTTTCTGCACATTTGAACATCATTAAGGCGATCCTTTCGGTAATCGCATTGACAACTTCCGGTGCGGGCACAATCAGAACGCAAGCACACCTCGACACGACCAAGAATAACAGCATCCCATACGTTTGCATGTTAGCGGATAGCCGCTACCGATCTACAGGTTTGTCTCTCTAACGACCGCGTTTGTTATTCCCAAAGTTGATTGCGTCGCAAATCGTTCGAATGAACAAATCGCAGCAATTCATTCGACGATTGCACCAAATGCAGGTACGCAGATCATTTGCCAGGCTTGCTTATCGATCGGGCAATGCGCAATAAAAGAATTTTACACGCTTCAAGTCATTTCAGATAACGGATAAGTAATTTTGAGAGCGCTTTTTGTTCGCTGCAAAGATCATCCTATAAAAAGGATATTATTCAATACTACAACGAAAGTATTGAGTATATTCTAATTATTGAGTTACAAATAAATGCAAAAGATAGTCATCTCACAAAGCCACAAACGCTGAACCGGTCAGATCGCAAATAAACCTAGATCAATGTATAAACATTTATTTATACATTGGTTATATATATAGGTATCCTTTTATCCCGAGAAATAAAACTACTCTGGTTCGTAAAGATATATGCAGTTTATTTCAAAAAATTACGTTGAAAGGGCTTTAACTATACACAACATCTATAGTCCACTGTTTGGTATTGTTAGTAGACGCTGTCTAGCTTGGTAAGGCTGTCCTAGTGCCGGTTGTTTTTACAATTCAGCAGTGTGTGCAAGTAATGTAAATATTCAACACACATCTATCAAATGGTGGCTTAGCTCATTAAGTTTAAATGTGTTACGGAGAATTCGGAATAGACCGTTACCGGCCCGACTCATGCGCACGAACATCGCGCCGTGAGCAAGTAACAAAGCAGCCTAATAGATACAGAAGAAGAATGATATTACGAGAACGTGGCCGCAGTAAAAAACGGCAAAATGGACAGCGTTGAAAATAAAGGAGGCAGCCGCAGCCACGTATTCATTATTGCGTTAGCGATCGAATTACCTTAATGTATTTCTATTAGGCAGCGAAATGAATCATGAAGAGGCAATCTATCAGTTGATTATAGTCGTCGCGGTAAGTAAATGCATTAAAATAATCATTGCTGATTACTGTCGTGCGTGGTTTCGCGTTTACTAGATACGAAACTTGAATGATGTTTGTTGTGGGACAAAAATGACTGTGAACGAAGATTCAATCGATTAAGGTCAGGTCTTGAAATAATTTTATTGTCTTTTGAACTAACAATGCTTTTCTACCTGATGATATGAAGGAAATTTGAAGTATCTACTTGGGTTTCTAGCTTGTTTTAGGTTTTCAGTCTCAAAACATAAAACTGCGTTGTGTATCAAGCACAGCTGTGCGATGCGATTTTAAAGCGAGACGTTAATCCGGAGCAGCTCTACACGTTGCCATGCCACAAGTTTGAACCCGTGATCCCTTACGTCGATCGATCAAAGCAACGATCAACTGGATCAACCGATTAACTGGACCACCACTACATATTCTACATAATTATGCACAATTATCATAATTATCCGTTGGTTAGCGCACCGCGTGTGACGTCCCGTACATTGACTATAATGGTTTCCACAGGTACTTCATGTCCGGGGCCCAATTGAGTTTCTGGATTTCGTCCCTAAAGCAATACGTCCTCCTCAGTACACGCGTGCAGTCGTTCGGCTCATCGGTGGCGGTCTTCTCGCATTTGTAAAGAAAATACATAATCTGTCTCGCAGTACCTACGTCTGGAATTGTAATCATCAAATGATATTTATTTCGCTGCTTGTGAACAATGGCCATTTATTTTTTTATTATTTGTTAACTACATTTAAACATCTGATTTATATAGAACATACTACACTTAGTATTTTATTTAAGGTAAAATATAAACAGCAATAATTCTTCTTTTTCGATCTCCTGCTGGTTCGGCACAATATGTCGATCATGTTATAATTGATTTTGCCTAAGTTTTTTACGACCTGACTGAAGTCAAACGTCATTATCTGTGGTCCACAAAAACTGTCCCGTGTGGGAATCGAACCCACAACTGCCGGCGCCGAATCCAATATCGATAGTGGTAAATGTATAGCAACTGCGCTACCGAGAAACAGCAAGATTTACCATAGTACAATCCTATCTTCTGAACCAATGAGGTTCTTTTTTAACGGTTGCAACGGATATGCACCATTGAAAGTAGTCTATGGAAAGTATTGAAACGAAACAGCCTTTTTTATGTAGTGTGTTGTGTGATAATTTTTATACCAACAGTGTCACTTAAAGAACTTAATGGAAAAGGAGGTAAACGAGCAATCGGGTCACGTGATAATAAGTGATCACCAATTGATACTCGAAACAGCAGAGTTACAAATGTGTTTCCGACCCAACTATGTAAAGAGCTCACTAAAATCGGTACACAGTTCATTTTCGCTGCTGAAGTGTTAGTGAAGATGCAGATCGTAGAAAGCAAGATTTGTTTTATGATTTTACCTGCTCCATTTCTCATGATTAACTTCTCGAGGTGTTTGAGATTAATACGGGCGTCGGCGCCCGGATCGATGAGATTCAGTCTCGCGGAAATACAAATCATGGCACAGCCAGTTGCATTGCTTTTGAACTGATACCCTTCGGTCCAAAAGTTGTAGAAGTCGGCATAAATGCTGTCCGGGAGGTTCAACTGAATAGGACGTAGACATTCACTAACGTTAATGAAGCAATTTACAAAGCATAACTGGACTTTCTAAAGATTGTGATAGTAATTGTTACAATAGAGCAATTTTTTTAACGGATAGAGAAACATTACTGAAACAATATTACGAAATAAAGATAGGGGCAGACCTTTGGGCACCCAACAGTCTTCTCTATTGCACGAAAGGGCAGGTCCGTCCGGGTATGTACCACCACCTTACAGAAGACTGGCGTGAAATGGTATTATTATACTTCTGCGTTTCGTCTGCAGTTTTAAATATTTATTTCTCGAAAACTATAAGCGACCGCCGAATTCTGCTTGTTGATTAATTCATTAGTGATCCCTCTCTATCGTTTAAAATTTATTTCAATTGAATTACGTCGGAGTTAAAGTTATTTACATTTACCAAAAGTCTTTAAAAATACTAAAAGTACTGTTACACTAAAGTTTTCTGGGTGGTCATAAAAAAAAACCTAACAACGAAGGCTAAGGCGGGAGCTAAGCTCCCGCCTTAACCTTCTAACCTAACCTATCCGAGTCGGATCGCTCTGTGTCGGATCTGTGACTCATTTTGAACCTAATATTCGAGACATTAAGTGTACACTAAGTCGCAAATGTTAAATATTAGAAATTGTTAATAATACATGTTCATGAAGTAGAAACTTGTGTTTTTGTGATATATCTGTGTATTTGTGTCTTCTTACAACGTAAAAAGTGAAAACGTAAGTTTTTAACTTAAAATAATAGTCTATAATGAATAATGGACGCACAGTAATGACGGATTTCAGTTGTATGAAATTTAAAAACTTTGTTAATTTTTTCCTCATAATCTAGTGGTTTTCATTGATTGTAACTTATATAATATTTCATTATTAACATTTCTCTATAGATTAAATTTTTTTTCTAGCTTGAATAACGAGACAGACTATTCGGAATATTAGCCAAAAATAAATATCAGTCAGCTTTAAAGAATGCTGACGGGACTTAAAATGAATTACTTTTACCTCTTTCTTACATCTGTCCAATGGCTTAAAATAATTTTCCATAATTGATCTCATGACCTCTCGGGATGAGTCGACGTTTGAGTTCGAGGCCAAATATAGAATTGATATCAGTAATAATAAGTTTTTCTCCATTATTAAAAAATAGAAAAAAAGTCATATAAAAAGTGTATAATACGTTAAAAATGACGTTTCATAATTTTCTTTTTTGGGATTAGTGTTTAACGGAGCGTGTGGTTATCATACAGGTTTTATTATTTTTGATATTAAATTTTAATATTTGAATTTATAAACATTAATATTTATATTGCTCAATATTATATAGAAAACCAATGAGTTATTAAAACAGAGGAACTTAATTTTTTTTGTTATATTTTAAGCAATAGTAGACGTAAAACTAATACGGACACGCGTAATATTTTAATACTAGCTCGGGCCCGCGACTGCGTCCGCGTGGAATAGGGTGAAAGCGAAAAATTCAGATAGATACAGACAGATATTTATACATATAATAAAAATGTAACTTGTCTTTGTCTGTACATGAAAGACATATGAGAAAAACTATTATTAAAGGTCCACTTTATCAACGCTATAGAACCCAAAACAATGGTTGTAAAAATTTTTGTCTGTGTATCTGTGCATTTGTGCGCGCTAATCTTAGAAACGGCTTAACCGATTTGGGTGGAACTTTAAGTAATGCGTTGTAGTACTTCACTTACATTTAGTGTTACTTTTATTCAAATCGGTTCATAAATAAAAAAGTTATATCAACTTAAAAAAGTAATAGCTACAGCTGAATTGGATGAAACTATAGTTAACTATAATTGGAACGAAGTTCCTTACGGCAGGCTTGGAGGGGATAGGGATTTTGCTGCGCGACCGAACTGAAAAAAATGTGATAGTAAAACCGTAAGAAAAAGTGCGTGGAATAAAACCGTTAAATGAGACGTGCGCAGGCGCGACAGTCGCATCCACAAGCGAGTAGTGTATAATTTTGTTATTTTAGTTGATAATTTGAATTACGATGTTTTTTTTATTTTAAGTAATTTATTATTTCCTAAAATACTGAATTTCCTAAATACTTTCTTGTACTTAAATAAAAACTAATCAGCAAAATTTAAGAGAAAAATCAAGAAAACCTACATAAAATTGAGCACGATTTTTTTTGCAATTTGTGTCGATTCTACATTAGCCGAAGGAACTTCGTTCCTACCTGGTGTCCCACGACACCACATCATTTTCATTATTTATATTATGGTCTGTAAAATGATGCTGATTGTTAGATTATATAAATTTAAAAACCAAGTGCAAGTCGCAATCGTGCACGAAGGTTTCCATACCATAATCTATAAAAACGGCAAAAAAATCATGTCTGTTGTATGAGACCCCCACTTAAAAAATATTCTGAAGAAAAGTTACGTTTATATGAAGTTAAGTTTATAAGAAGTAAAAAATGGAATCCGCCATTGCACAATTTTACACCGACACTGCGCGGGATTCTATATGCAGAAAGGCCACTTGTAGTAAGCGAACTTAAAAACTCAACCGGCTAATTTGTGGCTTGATCATTGCTTGCAGTGAGCATAATGCGTTCACATAACGAAGAATTATTTAGTAAAGTGTAATTATTCTCTATGCTAGGAATGCATTAAAGTTGTGGTTTTTACCTACTTTCATGTGAAAAAAGAAAAACTATAAATGTTTCTTAAATATGCTCAATTCACAGAAAATATGCTGACCATTTAATTCAATTTTGTTCACAATTTCATGGGTTTTAATTTTTTTTGCACGGAATCTAACACCTCTTCTAAAATAAATGTAGCTTAAGCTTTTTTCTTAAGAATTACGCTAACTTCCAGTGAAAGTCCCGATAAAATCGGTCAAGCCATTTTGGAAAAGATTAGCTCGGCTCAAAGAGACAGGTAGAAAAAAAAGGAAAAAATGCGAATTGAATCCACATGCACACAAATTAAATGTTTTAACTAAAATATATAGCAGTACAAGTAAAGGGAATAAAGTTATATTGAATAAGATTATTATAACAATGGGATTTATTAAAAGCACCCAGATAAGTTTTGATAATGAACACAAACTTATTTAAATTCACCCTTACTTTTTATTGTATTTTACATAGAACTATATGAACAGAAAATAATAGGACATGGAGTCGTAAACACCTGCCGTAACCAAAAAAAATAATTGCTGAGTCTGAAGTCACCAGATATAACGTTAATCCTTCACTGTCCATAGCAGAAGCCCGTTCATTCATTCAATAAAGATAACAGAGGCTAAAAGTGCCAACACGTAGTGCTAAAAATGCATCAAGAATTTATTTAACAAAGAATAAAAATTACATTTACAATTTACGAAGACATGTAACTAATATTAATTCCATTGATAAAACTTTTATCGTTACTATCTTCTGGTTGATTTCTTATCCGGTTAAGTAGTGTTAAAACGTAAATAGAACCTGACTTGATATGTGGCCAGGTTTTGTGATAGTGAAAAAACTTGCCTTGGAACGGAGAAGCGATATAAAGAGAAATCGTTATATCACTAAAAAGTATTATCTCCTATTTATTCTATTATCAAATCATAATGGATGACATTTAATCAATCATAAAGCTTTAACACTTCGAAATTTCAAAATGATCAGTATTTTTGCATCAATTAGGAACCGTTTATTTATGATATATGCTACGGATATAAAAGTCTTTTAAAAAAAACTTGATTAGTTTTTAAGATAAGTTAATTTACGTTTTGTTTTCAATTCATTTGCAAAAATTACGAGTTGCACGCTTCTGTTTCAAACCTCAGCCAAAACCTCTCCTAGTATCAGTTCCATGTCTGGAGCCCAATTCAGCTTCTGAATTTCGGATTTGAAACATTTCGCAATGTCCAGTACTTTTAAACAGGCGTCCGGGTTTTCCGGTGCGGACTGCTCGCACTGATGCAATAGACCTACGAGCTGCTTCGCCATGGCTTCGTCTGGAAATTCCACAGAAGATGAGCTGAACGATTCTTATTGCAGCGTCATGAAATTTAAAATGTGTAATTTAAATTTGGATATATTTCGTCAATGTTAAAAAATAAAAGCTCAAAGTTGGTGGGCCACCTGATGTTAACTGATAACCGTCATCGATGGCCTTTTGCAACACCCGTGTGGTTACAGATGCGTCGCCACCTTTTATAAAGTGGACTCCGTTTAACTCACTCACCATACGATACGCAGAAGTATAACGGTTCCACTTCACGGTTCTCCGTGAGTGTTGCATGGCCCTACCACAGTTTACAGTTACTATGTACTTTTTTTTTTCTTTTTTTTTTATTAGGTCTACAAAACTGAATACAACCTTTAGTGCATTCTTCTAGATGTAGACACAGCATTTAAATCGGACAGAAAAAGAACAATAGGTAATACAAGTTATCTTAATAACTAATATAAACAGAGATTAAATACTTAGGTTAATAAAAACCAGAACAGAACGGTAACTAATTAGGAAGTCTTAGTCAATCATTTCGTTATTGTAATTTAATACTCACCAGCCCCGTGCTTCTTGGCAAACTCCTCAGTGTTACCGTGATGGAGGCTGCCGTCAGGTTCGATGAGATTCAATTTGGTGGAGAGACATATGATAGCGCAACCAGTAAATCTATTCGTCAGCTCAAAGTCGGGCTTCCAGAAGTTAAGAAAGTCGGAATTAACACTGTCTGGAAGATCCATCTAAAAGAGATTACTATTATTGTTTTACTGATACATAATTTACATGACTTAGGTTCTTGTTCTTAAACTCCAGTGAAAAAATTACTACGATTATTTTACGAGTACCTCCTGTTTGCAGTTATTCAAAGCTTTGATATAATTTAGGGAGATAGTTTTCATGGCGTTCTGTGAGGAATTCACCACGCAGTATGATATTAAACAATTAAACACAACCAATAACGGAGTCTTCTTCATCCTTGATTCTTTTTAGTGGCTAGCTGTCAAGTTGAGAATATAACTAGGCACGAACACGTCTTGTTTCTTTTATATCAATCGAGTGTTTTAATTGGTCGTTGTAATTGTCACCTAAGGTATTAATTGAAGCTCATTTGTTAACCCAGTCACGTAAGGAACACAGTACTAATTGTCGGATCATGTCGTATATTAATTGAACAACGAACAGTGTGTAGCATTTGGTTTTAAGTAATATATTTGGTAACAATTTAATTTTCATACAACTACTTAGAGGGGTTTCGGCGTCGAGGGTCGTGGGTTCAATTCTCAAACAGGGCAAGTATTTCTCCGAACCGTGGCTGATTCTATCGGATTTGGTCGTTTTGCCAACACCTCCTTGTTGGAATAATGGAAGAAAAAGGGAAAGGACTGGCAGGGATGACTGTGGTAGGACCACGCAACAGTCCTTGCTGTTGTGGGCACGTCCGTCCGGGGAAGTAGCATGACCTCACAGAAAACTGACGTGAAGTGGAAGTAATATACTTCTGCATTTCGTCTGGTGAGTGAGATAGCCGGGGCCTTTATTAAAATTTAGCAACGCATCTGCAACCCTTCGGTTGTTGCAAATCTCAATGGGCAATTATCACTTAACATCAGATCAGAACCGCCACCTCGCTTGCTACCTCTAAACAAGGGAGAAGATAAATGGTACATTCTGAAGAATTCTTAAATTTTTAAATGATATCAATTTTTAAAGCAATTTTTATTCTGTGCACTTAAGATGTAATTTAAAATTTTTAGCCGCTGCAAGCATTTGAACTTGCATCCTCCGAGTAACGCGCTCGACGCTGTAGCCACTAAGCTAAATGGCATATTTTCTTTGTTTTTATTGCACGCAATTTTACGCAATGCTTAACAACATCTAGTGTTTTTCATACTAAAGTTTACAATAAAATATTTGAAAACTAGAGATGTCACCTCTGCTATTATTGAAATAAATTATTTTAAATGAAACTAATTTTAGAAATTAGAGACTATAGATTTATGTTATTTAATTTAAATATAATTAATTTAATCTCACAGCAGCGAAAACTATGTATCCATTTTTCTTAAAAATATATTTTCTTGGAAAAAATAATAAAGCCTTAGGTTACTTTATTATTTCAGTAAATATTGTTTAATCACTCGTCTTAATAAGTACATATTTATTCTATTACGTAGTTAGTCTTTTTACGATAAAATCACTCTGTATTATAGAGATTTTACGGCCACGAATTGCTTACTGATCGGATCTGGACAAATGTTGCTGGTCATTGCAACACTTGTCCGCCTCGCTACCCTATTGAACTAAACAGGTCAGTCTATTTTTGTAAAGTTCCTTATTCTTCAGATTTATTAATGGTTTTAGTACACGTAACAAAATCTTATCCTGTAACAATTCTTTACTTATCAAGAACTAAAATTTACTTTAAAATTTGTAGAAAAAGTACGAAAAGATTGTCGCCGTTGTGGGAATCGAACCCACGTCTACGGCATTCGTGGCCTGATTTTTTCTACAAATTTTAATGTTAAATCTTAAGTGCAGAGATTAGGACTATTAAAAATTTTAATTTCAAAATTAAATAAAAACAATAAAAAAAAAGTAGTAAAGTAAGTAATACCTATTTATACCTTGCTAAAGACTATTTTAACCGAACCCATGACTACAACCATGTTCTAAATATTGACTGAAAACCTGTGTGATCAAAGTCATAGTCAAGGTAATTTTTTTGAGTATCCGTTGGTCACAATCACATGATTCTGCATATAATTAAGAAAAAAATTCCAACACTTCTTGATTGATGTATCCTGCCGTTGTTGGTTTTATAAGATGTAAAGTTATTAACTGCATCATAGTCTGATAGAGCTCAGTAACAAGAACGTATAAGATAGGGCATGTAAAACATAGTGAACGCAGAAGCCGTAAGGATACATATGACTAAATCTCAAACATTGTATGTGTGGTATAGGGGAGACAGACAATGACCGATCGCGGCGTGTGTTGCCAGCTCCCGGCCCCCGTCTCCCGGCTCTATTCCCATCACGTAGTGTTGCCAGGGGAGAAATAAATATTTTCGAAGAAATCGCGACCTGTTTTATATGTAAATTTTAATACTTTCAGCCAAATAAAGTCGCGCAGTATGTTTGTCGCGTTCGGTTTTATTGTTTGTGATAATGAGGTACGCAGGTGCGGAGCCAGTGTAGTTGCACTGTCTCACGATGCTATTCTATATAAAATGCGAGCTTTTTATTTGTAGATTTTTTATACATATACATAAGCATAGTTTAGTTTATGATTCTAAACCTTGACGTAAGAAGTACTGCATATTTTTAACTAAAGCTACGTTTTGTGTTTACAAAGTCTATTGTATTAGTTTCTAGTTTTAATTACTACGCATTGTAAAATTAAAATAATTTAGGGATTTTGGTTATCACGTGTGTCATATTTTTGTGTCCGATAGACTCTGTGTGTGTCTAAAGTGTACGAAAATTAAGAAATTATAACCAATATTTAAGGTGATAAAATACGTACCTAAATTAGTTTTATTCAACAAATAACTAATTGTTTGAAATCGCGTTATTAGTTATTTTTAAGAAAGAACATGTTCTTATGGGTTTAGTAAATTATTACACATAATATGTAACCAATTATGGCTTATAATAAACTACAAAATTAACACCATATGACCGTAAATATGAGTCCTACAGGTTTCATCATTAATTTTACAAACCACCGTGAAATATGAAACTAGACGTTGTCAAACCTGATATATTATTTACCAAATCTTATATCAGGAAAAATATACACGCGAACTATTAGGAACATAAGAGGTAAAAAGCTGTCGGCCTGTCAAAAACAGCATCATTACAGCCTGACAGATTGGTTCCAACTCTCCCTAGACGGATGATTTATGTAGCAAGTTAGCGGCAACGAAGAAAACTAATAGCAAGTGCATCTTCTGGGAAATTACATTGCCGAAACAACAGTTGGATAATAATAATAAATCACTTTATAATTGGTAATAGATTGTAATAACATGTAATAGGTTACATAGTTTGTAATAGTTTCTCAGTAATATTTAACTTCCAGGCTTCAAATACTCGCAGAATATTCAAAGCAAAAGGAAATTTTTTGGATTCGGTTTTGATCAACGTCCGCTGTATCGTCATCGTACCCAATATGAAAAAGCAAGCAATATAAATCGAATTCATATCTTTCGTAAATGAATTCGATTTAATATACGTTTGAAATTTCCAAATGCAACATTGCTACTATTACTTTGGAGGCTTAAGCAAAATAAAAATACATAAAGCCATTGGCGTCGATTTCCAACCGGCTACCCTCACGTGCGGTTTCCATCCATCACCGGCGACAGCCACAGGCCTCTATGGGAAAGTGAGTTCTACGGGCAATGGGCCGTGCAATGGGAATCGTGACAGGAATCGAATAGTACACGTGAGGTAGAGTGCTCATAGTTTTAAATTACATTGATAACTATAATCCATCTTTCTGTTCAATTACAGCGTGTTCTTAAGGCAAAAGCGAACAGGTAACACTGAGATAATGCCTGTTAACCATCTACGGTTATAACACATCAACAATCAAGTGGAATAGCTGGTTACGATTGGAGTTTACAATAAAAGAAATTATAATAATGTAAAACATTTCTATTAACGTTCCGTATCAAGTGTTAACTATTGGAATTTTCTTCTAGAATGTATAAGATTTTTATTTAACTTACGTTTGGGTCGTAAAGTACACACGAATAATGATCATAATCTATCACGAAGATCTAAGTAAGCTCTGATGAGACGTGATCAGGTGAGATACCTTGTCTCAACCTGTGACCATCTCATTAGAGTACGGACATAGTAGACTACATTAATGTGGTTTACGTGTACAATAAGATGGTACCAATCAACAAACAAATCTTGGACAAACGAACGATGGGCTCTTTCGACATCTTGACCATTTTTAATTTGCATTTTAACTAAATTTACAACTCAATTTATAGTTAACGGCTCAAAAATTGCAGTTCTGGTGAATTTGAAAGTACTTGCTTTTTTTTAATTTTGTTAATTCTACTTGAATTGCAGATTCCATTCCGACCATTTTCATTAATTAAAATTTAATAGTTCTTTGCTCAACAAATACAATTAAATTTTAAAGTAAATTACTAACCATAGCCAACGATAATAATAACAAAAATGTTGTTATATCGAAACATAAAATACACTTACTCTTTTGATTAATACACAACCAAATATTTGCTTAATTTTGAACTAATTGACAGGAAATAACCAAGAAAGGTATCAATTTCATATCATCCTACGAGTAACTGATTGACGACGTTACGTTCTGTATAATCAAGTCATATACCAATGCACACTGCCGTGGCAAGCGATTATCTAACATATTCCCTGACGAAAGAGGTGATGATTGCATGAAAATATAATAGAAGTCGCGAGGTTATTTATAAACTATAGTTAACGTATGTATATGAAGAAATAAGTACACCGTGACTTGCTATATTAAAGCCTATTCATTACTCTGGACAAGGTATCGCCTATTTGCGTGCATGGCGGACATCATCAATCCACCTATACGCAGAATTGGCATTGCGGTTTCATATGCAGATATAAACTCTATGTAGCTTAATATAAGAGAAAACTGTAAGCCGAGTTAGGCTCTAGAAATAATTACATGTAATTATAATTTTTTAAATTTCATCGCCTTATAATGAAGAAATACAAACAACCAGAGCCATTGCAGCGGAAAGTTTGGTCACAGGAACGTAAACAGCATGGATTTCCTCTGGTGTTGTATAGTTTTCGGATTCGCTCTCATCACCAGTATAGAGCCAGTGAGGGGAACTGCTGAAGTATTGAGCCACGTAACAGCCCACTTTGGGCGGTCTTTGGAAGAATGCCGTGAAGAGGTACGTTTAAATTTAATGCACTAAATATCACTTAGGCTCAGCATGAAAAAAGACATTTATTTTGTCTCGAATGTACCAATTTTGTACTAACTGTAATAAGAGTATAAAAGAGACTACATGGTCCATTACAGAAAGTTGTATTTCAAATTGGTTAAATAAGCTGCATTGTATAAAATGATACCTTTTAGTTTTTAAATGGCTTTCATTTTGATTGCAGTAGATTAACGTTTTGCATTTTTTTTTGAATGAGGTAATAAGTTTCAATCTCTTCCCTCATCTAGTCAGGACTAACAAAGGAGGTGATGGAGGAGTTCAAGCATTTCTGGAGCGAAGACTTCGAGGTGGTGCACAGGGAGCTGGGCTGTGCGCTCATCTGCATGTCCAACAAGTTCTCGCTGCTGCAGGACGACGCTCGCATGCACCACATGAACATGCACGACTACATATTGAGCTTTCCTAGTGGTATGTCCCTATTTTGATTTGATTATTACCACTCTAAATTCAGCTACACACATTTTCGTATCATCAATGTAAGGAAATCGAACCAACGTGATGGTACGTTATGTTATAAGTAAATGTTTGACTCTCCAAATAAAAAAGACTAATGCAATACACGACCTTTTTCCAAGTTTCTTATTAGTTTCCTTAATAATACCATTCTTAAAATCGTTCTGGCATCGCGGATCGTATAACTCAATTAGTCATAAGAAGTATTAAAATAAAAAGTAAAACTGTTCAACGCTTGATTGTTATTTGAATTATATACTATTACGTTTAGACGTGTAATTATACACCTGTGTTATTTAACAGGTGACGTACTGTCGACGAAAATGGTGAACATGATCCACAAGTGCGAGCAACAGTACGACGGTGTGGTCGACGACTGTTCGCGTGTGGTGAAGGTGGCCGCCTGTTTCAAGAAGGACGCTAAAAAGGAGGGCATAGCTCCGGAGGTCACCATGATAGAGGCCGTCTTAGAGAAGTACAAACAAGGAGAACCGAGTAGTTAAATGGTTATCTAATATACATCGAATTCGTAGACAGACTGCGATGTTGCCTAAGAATATTTTATCGGGATTAATTTGGAATATTCTATTAAATTGTTTGGTTGATGTGTAGATTTGTTATTTGCAAGTTCCTAAAAGATTTTCAAGGTCCCAAAGATTTTCATAGTCAGAGTTACTAACAAGCATACAATGCACTGTTGCCTCTAGGATGTGGTGTACATCTTAATGTACGCCACATTTAAAACTTTTTTAAAACATCACCAGAATATAAACGTCAACAAAACGTTCACCAAAAAGTAAATTTCTGGACCAGTTTAAATTTACGAAATAGTGGTAGTATATTACTTTTGTACAAGAAATAACTTTAATTAACCCTACACAGCAGAATTTTGAATGTATGAGATCAAAACCAAAATATTATTTTAAAAAATATAATTTCACAAGTAAGTATAATAATAGACACTGTTATATTTAACACATTTAAATGTACCAGTTATGATTGAGTTATTTAAGTCTAGGTAGTGTTATGGGCTTAAATTGTGTTATTAAAAACTTTTCATTCGCTCTCAGGATAATAATAGTCTTACTCTTTGTCGAAAAGGTATTACACGCTTGTTCACATTTTAATCTCTTTCGGAATAATATCGTCGATCACCGAATCTCCGTGAAGCATATTAAAACACCTAAACAATACGGTCCCTTGGAAAATGTATCGGAACATCGTATTCCACTCGTACACGAAAAATGTTGCATTGTTAGGAATTACGCGTCGCGTATCATACCTGGCGATGGTGTGCAGGTGAGCGCTGGTGGCCACCTTGACCAGCGGCCGGTGCGGTGGTCTGCTCGGCCTCGTCGGTGGGCTGTACGTGTACTCGCTGGCCCCCGCGCCCGTCAACCACGACCAGTGTTCCGTCATCGTGCACTTGCCACTTTCCTTCAATTGTCACTTTACAATCTGCTCACTAGCCAGTCGTATAAAACTACAACTTTGCATCACACTTTATATTGTTCGCATGCCTCTTTAAGTGTATGTACATCGAGTCCGCCTCCACTGATATTATAAGTCTGTTTTATGATTGGTTAGTTTATTCTTTTGTCAGCAACGGAGCGGCACTTGGTCATGACTGGAGGACGTGGTTCATTTTGTCTAGGACAAGTTCAAGGCTCCTGACGGAGGGATCTGCTGCAGATTTTTAAATTTCGCTTTAAGGTTGTATGTTGGTATGTATATGTAGTTAGTATGTATATGTAGTTGGTATGTACATTCATGGTAGTGTTAAATTCAATCTTCTACAATTACAATCATCAGAGTCACGAACGTTAAACCATTTGCCGTCATCGTTATGTCTTATAATGCTCTAATTTAAAATTTAATGCCCTCTAAATTCCCCCCACGTACAATTTAAATTCCCTTCGAGAAATTATAAATCAAATATCAAAATTTTCACAGCCTTTTAGCGATCTCATCCTTCAAGTTTTCGCCTAATGCAACGACTCTTATTAAATTTACGAACAATGATGGATAACATCTGAACAAGAGTGCTGCAGCTGGCGCATTGTTAAACGTTTACAGTCATTCACGTCTAAACTGAACCTTAATCTCTTAGATATAAAAGCATTTGCGAATGCAGGCATTCAATATTTAAGAGAGTTCATTTAAAATATCAATAGTTAAAAACAACCTTATTTCGATGGAACAGGGTTTAATTTACACGCATAAAAAATCATTGTACAGTACCAATCGGAGGGATTTCACCAAGCGCCCTCCGCAAAATAGCGTTATTAACACTCCCCGTCGCGGGCCTATTTTGATCCAAACAGACAGAATCCAGTTCGTTTTCTATCCCTTTCTTTGGTTCGAGGAGCGAAAGGGACATGTACATAGTTTACGCGCAATGTTGACAGAGCTGAGACCAGGTTCCTTCAGACGGCCATAAATCTAAGGCCCCTTACAATTCTATGGAGACACGGTGCGGGTTGAAGCGATTCCCATTTACCTCCGCAGTCCACCACACGCTGCTCCGGTAATGTTCACGACCAGGACAATAAATTTAGTTGGCCATTATTCCTTCTAATCAGAACGGTTTTCTATTATTTTCTTTTTTTATGGGAGTTGTTAAGTTGGCAAGCGAGCAGACGGTTCACCTGATATTAATGATTATCACCAGCCATGGACATCAGCAATACTAAATTGAACGTGAATGTATAATACTTCCACTTCACGGTGGTCTCCTGTGAGTGAGGCTTTGGTATAAGTACCTACTTTCCCGGGCGAGCCTGCCCATTGGTACGGTCAAACGCTGCTTCGTGGCCCCACCACAAAAAATAACATTGAGCATTAAACGGTTAAACTGTAGTTAGTGTAACAGCTTATTAGAAGATTGCAAAGATGGCAAACTAGTATGAATATCTATACTGTTATTAACTATGTTTTCAACCAAATGCATTATGGTCACAAGTTCGTTAAGACGGATATTTATTTATGTTATAATTAACGCCACTAATACTATTAAAACAAGACTGTTAACTCAGATTCTACAAATCTTTTTACTCTTTAATTCATATCACTGGACTTTTAAAAAAATTACCTACTCCAATAATTAACGTCTAGTAAAAATTGTAGACCGACGCAGTAGCATTTCATTCATTGAAGAGAACATTTGATTAAACAGAAATAGCAAAATACGTGTCGTACAGAATGGGATTCGTCTGGTTCGCTTAAAATTTAAAATAGATGATTTTGCAAATTGTCTGCGGTGTTTTTCTCGTCAATGAAATTCAGATTGGATGTTTTAAATAATACAGCAAATTGCAAATAGAAAAATAGAAGAGTAATCATATCGTTCGTTACTTCGATTGATGAGATGATGAGAGTGATCAAATCGTTCGTTATCTTCGTTATTTCCTAAATGTTATTTTTATAACTCGATTAGCTGATTTAAATGTTTGTGCAAGTAATCGTCTAATCATAATGCAAAACCATCACTAAGCTTTATAGAATAGTTTATAGTTTAGACACGTTACTATACACTTTCTGTGATCAACAAACTACTATGCCGTAAGGTTTGATAAATAAGTAAGTAAAATACCATAGAATAGAATAATTTACTCTTTCAGAAAAAATATTTCATAGAAATATAAAAAAACGTGTGCGGTGGAGGAATATATTATATGTTAATATGTACTATAAGTGCAGAAAGCCGGCATATTATAATTAAATATTAATACATTAAATCTATAAGTGCAGAAAGCCGGCATATTAATACATTAAATCGTTTCGAATTTAATAAAAAAATAAAGTTATAATTACGAATTAAGATCGATTTGCGACCGTATATTTTTCTATATATTTGGGTAACAGGAGACTCGTCATTCTTTAGAATTCGAACATGCTCTTAAATTGAAAACACCCCTCGTAACACTACTTATCCAAATGGATCGGATTCAAACCCGGAGCTCCACGTTGCGTTGTAATCACCAAAGTAAGGGCGCGGTTTATTGCCGGTGCTGATTTATCGCCCACTAGAATACATTATTGGGGACTATGTACGGGAGACACGTTACACGACACCGACTCGAAACATCGTCCTAGATTCAACGGTACTTCCAACTATATAATAAATATACAGCTATACAGTAATAGCTTCCTAGTAAAGTTCAAAAATTACGACAAATTGAGGATTGAGTCTTAATTATTTTGTTCACAACAACATAGCAATTAAACGTTAAAAAAATGTGAGTTACCCCCGTTACTGGGGTGTTCTATTTTTGTACAAGGAAAGGTATTCGGACCATCACACTTGTTAGGTATTTATTATAAAAAATCGAAAATATTGATGTTATCCGTGTATGAGTCATGTAATTTATATCAAGATGATAGGTTTCGTTTGCGTGAAATACGTAGTACGTGTAATATACAGGAAAACGACTAACGACGAACTATTCAAACCAAAAAAAATATTTCAAACTAACGTCATTCTACTCTACAAAAGCAATACTTCAGTGTGATCTGTTGTCCTCCAGAAAGCACAAACGTACGGTGGATTCATGTTTTTTTATATTATATCCATGGATGGGAGATAAAAAAACAATACGTGATTCAATTGAATTCTGCATTGTGTAGCATCGAGTACATTCCTATAAAACACTTCATTACCGAAGGGAATGCGCGACTACAGTCTACAAACTGAAAAATACAAAACTAAACCCAGCCACCGATAAATTAGGATTTAATTCAGATTGCACCCTGTATCGAGGGGTGCGATCCCCTAATCCGAATTTCGGTGCCGTTTTGCACTGATCAAATTAAAAATGTACATTTCCATAATTTTTCCGCTTGTTACATTTACGATGACAAATATATTTTCTATTTTTTAAAATTACTTCATGACCATTCAATAAGACAAAGGAAAAAAGAATTACAATTAAATTTATATAAAAAAATTATAAATTAGAAGGGATCTCTATTGCTCATTGAATATATTTTTACGTCTAACATCTACGCTGGTAACAATAGGGGGCAGTGGCCATTAAAGACCAGAGTTCTTTTCCTTTGGTATATATTATCTATCTGGCTGTCTGTTTAATAAAGTCTGGACGGTAAGTTGCACGTGTACGCTCAGTTTGGGATTTGGTTAGGTCAAAGTAACGTGCGACTATACATTCTTTCAATTTATAAGACAAAGTCTGATGCACTATATACAACACCTTCAGCATAGCAACTTCATTACGGGTACGAATAACACCGCAGTCTAACCCAGCCGTAGGTAATACTTCGTTGTGTCGTTTTGTTCGCATTTAGATGCTGTATTTCGCAGACGGAGTCTGGTAATCGCCGGTCCGCTGGCGCTCTCAATTAGCCCCCTTAATTGGTGTCAGCAGCGAGTCTAAAAAGAGCATCTAGGAGACACGACACGTCGCGAAATTAATTAAGCCCATTTCAACTCGTTCGTCCGTACCGTCGAGGGAGCGTGATACATACCCGCACACTTAAGCATAGTGAAATAAGAAGTTTTATCAACATACTCCATTTTAGCGGCTTGGCCCGCGCGGTTTTATTCCGAATAAATTTTTTAAGAAATAAAAAAGACCACGAATCCAATGTCAAGAATTAGACGCTTGGATACATCGATTTATTTACGAGCAGGTGGCAAATAGTCAGGTGATTAACCTGTTTATGATTAACTCCGCAACTTAAAAACAAAATAAAACTATATACAATTTAAAGAATAATAAACTGAGGACGCCCGGTTTCTGAAACACGGATCATCGTACATGTCATCTAATCAGCTGTCAAATGGCTTTTCAAATGTCATTTAAGTTGCCAAAAGGATGGTTAAACTCTCTGAATTGATCAGAATGATCTTAATCGAAATCTTGTTTCTCAAATTATCGATTCAAAGAGTTTATGGCCTTTTTTATTTTATTAAGATGACCAGTGTTTCAGAAACCGCGCGTTAGTTGTTTAAAGAGCGTGCCACGGATTTTTAAAACGCGATAAATTCAGTCGACTAAATCGATGGTCAACATTTTTTAAATCTTTTACGGGGTTGTAGCACCCTGTACATAAGGCGCGTCAGTAGCCCGCCAACTCTGCAGCATGACTCATAGTAAAGTCCGACTCACACACATGCGAAGCGTGCATGTGGACGCGCGCGGCGCTGTGTGAGTATCCCTAAGAGAGGGAGAGGAGCGCACATAGTGTTACAGTGTGTCTTTGAGAATTTAATATTCACGAAAAGTTAAGTCTACTTTAGGCTGAGAGAATATTTTATTTACTACATGAACCTACTTTTATGATTATTTTTAATATCAGTATTAAAAATTAAAGTAAATTATCACAGCAGAATTAATTAAGGAAGGATGATATTTAATCTATACCAATAATAATAATTGATTATCTACAGATAATTACGG